AAACTCGCGTTGTGTTAATATGAGAGGACGGACCGGCCCACTTACCAGGTCTCAGCTCAAGCAACCTGGATCTTGACAAGCGGGCCGGCAGCGCGCCCGTCTTCTCATCTTAATACAACGCAACAATTATGAGGAAACAAGGCATTACCCGAGCCGGCCCGGTTAAGGGTGTCAGCCCGGCTAACCTGGCCGGCGCACCTCGTATAAAACAGGCCATGAGACTGCAAGACTACGACCTGAAATGTCTTCTAGCCCACACGTATCAAGATATTTTTGAACACGGAGATTTTTTCAGCCGTTTTAGTCTTCGGTCCACGCGTAAACGGCGTTTTTTATGGACCTAAAACGCAGGTTTTCGAAAGCGGTCCCAAGAGTGAACATTTTTGGAAACGCCGGCTTATCACTTTTCTTTGGAAGGACAAAGACGGATAATACGATGATGTCACATCATACAGCGCGCGCATTCTATGTAAGGATGTTATCGTATTTCCATTGTTTTAGCGTTTTCGCGTGGACGGGCGAAAACGACTTGAATACGCTACGTGTGGACGCGTAGTTTTTCGAAAACGGAAAAAAATCTCCGTTTTCAAAAATATTCAGACACGTGTGGACGAGGACAAAGACATTTCAGGTTAGTCGTGCAGTCTTAGTAACGACAAAGGAATGAATTTGATTTCCAAGCGATAAAAATTTGTTGCTGTGTAACAATCCGTACAGGAATTCTTACCTCAATAAGGTTGTCCCATTTCTGATTCAGTGGCTGTTTCTAAGTAAAAGAAAATGACACGTGATTATATTCCATGAATCTTTAATCAGGCACTCATCTTATCGGCCTTCAATGTAGAATGGCGAGTCTACAACGGTTCGAACTGTTAGAGCACTGTTCCAACATTGCAGCCCTAAAAATCGTTGTTGCAAATCGCCTCGTGGGACATCGTTTTGGCCAAAAATAGTCAACAGTGTTTACACAATAGTCCGTAGAATACATGTAGATGCAGTACTTCCTAAACGTTACGAGTAAAGTTTCAAAAAATGTGGCGCAAGGCTCCTGAACGTGCCATGTAAAGATTTGAAGAACCCATGGACGGCACTTAGCCATTAAAGGTCATTAAACAGTATGGTCATTCCAATTGCAAGATTACGGATCCATTATTCACAAACAAACTTCCAAAATTAGTTCCTGGTGAAAAATACGGTCCGTTGAACACCTCAAACGGCATGGAAAAAAAATTGCTGTTTGTTTTCTCGAACATGACAGGACATTCTGGTATCATAGTTAACCATACATGTACATTGAACTACACGCCTTTCATTGTACTACATTTGAGATTTTAGTGGCCACACTCTAAAGAATTTCATAAAAAAAAGTCGCTCAAAGCTTACCTCGGAGTACTTCTTTTGTAACAGGTATCTTAATCCATTTAAGTTCTTTTCTTTGTATATATTGGGAAAATTCTCTGAAATATTCAAAAGGAAACAAAATGAATTCACTAGGATTGATGATTGATGTACAATGTAGATTGATGATGTACATGTAATGAAGAGTAAAACTGATGGATATGAGTACATACAGTGTACCAGTAGTTTTTGATGCAATATATTATTGGCTGGTAATGCACTGTGCAGTCATATAAATCAGAACATATAATTTAAGCTTTTAATCCAAATGAAAATTTTCGGATTCTTAAACAGTGCATAGTGTAGATTCAATGGCATGTTACCTCTATTTTAAAAGTTATTCTACTTATAAGCAACTGGAATATTATTTTCATTACTTTTTGCACTCACCCGCCTTCAAGTTAAACATTTTTACCATCCTCTCACCAAGCTTGACAAGAGTCTTGTTCTTCAGTCTGTGATCCTTTGGTTTTGGAGACAAAGTTTTTCTGGAGGAGATCAAATAATAATATTTTAAAGTGACTCAGGTCTTTGCTAATGTTGGCAGGGTTTTATAATAGAAACATCAAGCAATCAATTATCCCACCCCAGCTGAAGAATACATCTTTTCAAGTTACTGTCACTGAATTTTTCAACCGTTATTGACTACTATCATGAACTACATATACTACATATTTTTTCCAACTCATTCAAACCCACTGGAGATACATAATGCACTGGCTGTATTAAAAGCAGAGCTTCTACACTGTAGGACTTAACCTAAAATTATGAGACAAAGCACAATTGCTGAAGATGTGTCTATCACAGATGTAGTGTACAGTACCACACAAAGTGCAGTAACTGTTTTGAGGTACAGAAAAAGTGACTACAGTGAGGCAAACAATACACAAAGCTGAAATATATAAATGATGATAAAAAAAGTCAGAAGCTCTGGGCTTTTTTCTGTATGAGGATCAAAGCCATGAAAGCATACAATGTAGAAAAATTTATCTTGGTTTTACAGCCATTTCTAGGAGACGCCTGGAAAGCTAGGAGAGCCTGCACAGACACTCCTGGCTTTTCTGGGCTATTTCCTGGCTTTCTTGCGTTACCCGCAGAATTTCCAGGGTAAAATTCTAATTTTTTCAGGGGATTACACAGGTAATAATGGACTTACTCAGCAACTATCTCCAGTTCATCATCTGTCATTCCACATAAATCATCCAGCATCCTCATGAACAGCTGCAAGGACATTGGGCAACCTGCCACATAACTATGTGTACAAAGAAAACAATCAGTTGAAACCTGCAAGGTGTCCAAATCATATGTAGGACTTGGGCTGAAATTCCAAATGGAAATAGATTGCCTATTTTGAATGATCTTTAAATGTTACCTTTCTGCTAACTGTAACTTATCCACAATTACCAAAGGCAGCAAGATCTAGAAAAATTACATGACAAAATGTTTATAAAAAATTGCCTCTTGTATCAACTGATCAATATCGTAAGTTGAATTTTTAAAGAAGCCTGCCTGATTTCATAGTGATGAACTTACAGTAACCACAAGACTGCCATAGAGTCTGAGAAAAAATTAGAAACTTCAAGCAGTTCGACCATTGATGACCACATATATTTTGAATATGTATTTTCACTTTGTCATGTTCTACAACATGGTTGTCATACTTAATTTAAAAGTTGTCCACAGTTAAAAAACAACCTCATTTTTTTAACTTGCAGGCAAGTGGAAAATACAATGCAATATATAATCCAGAGGTTTTTTCCATTGTTATTGATGATCCAGTAGTTCGGTCAGACTGATTACATTGGAACTTCTGATGATCAATTTTGAAATACATTAATGTAAAAGCCAATTCCCAACACTACCTGTAAATAGCACTTGTTCTCTTATCCGTATATAATAGAGACTACATCTAAGTTCTTCTTAGCTAAGACAAGATAATAGTCAATAATTTTCTTCAGATAAAATACCTTAATTTTTGAAAAAAAACTCTCACAAAAGAAACATTGTGAAGAATGCCCAGAATAAGGAAATTCTAAAAAAATATTAATAATACATTGTATAAAGCTTGATTATTGAAAACAAAAAGGTTAGAACTTAGATTTTTGCCTGGAAAACTATCCCATTCAGCCTGTATTATCTAATAGGGTTAGAATTGACAATTCAACAATTTATTTTAAACAATTAAGTATAGTTACCTCAGTTACATCAAAGTGTTTTTGAAGATTTAACTTGAATGCAATGGTAGCTGCCTGTTGCAAGAAAATTTAAAATATGTTGTATATGATGTACTGTTGAAACCTACTTTGTGAACACACAAGATGTATGAAAGCATTTAAAGCTGGAGTTCTATATATTTGTTAACCATTTACAACCTGTAGTTATCACCTAAGTTTTCTAATATAATGCATCTACTACCAGTTACTGGATATCTTATATACTAACTATTATTTTTGCAAAAACACTATAATTTTTCATTTTTCCTAGCTTCTATAAGATGAGCATGTAAATCAGCCATTGCAAAATAAAACTCAAACAGATTTTTGTATTTCACTAGAATTTTGATTTTCTAATATGTTCCTCGAAGAGTTACAAAATGAAAAATCAGGGTTTTGTCATATTCAATTGATTTGAAAATTTATAGAACATATGGAAAAAGGGGAAAATATAGGTACATGAGCATGTAGCAAATTCATATAAATGCTTAAATGAAAATTTTGATAGAATAAAACAGTTTTTTAAATGATCAACTTTACCATACATGTCCGATTTCATCCACAGATTTAAAAGTTAGAGGTTGAGATATTTAATCTTGCAGCAAGTTTGTAAGAGCAAAAGAGTTTAAATGTCGTTAACTGGTAAATTGACATTAAAAATAGTACTCACCTCCCTGTATCTCCTTTTTGAATGCATTAGAAATCTCACATGTTTAGCCAAAAATCCATTGTCTCCCACGTCAAGTTGAAATGTCCTTTTTATTGGCTCAAAAAGGAGAAAAGTGGAGGAAACCACTACATCCAGTGCCAAATCCTTATGATTGTCAGTTGGCCAATAACCTAACAGCTTTACTTCTTCAATACCTCTCCCTTCAGTCTTTGATTTAAGCCAAGCTTCAAACTCAACAAGGGTCAAATAAGCAAGTGACTTTTTGCCACTTTGAATATCAAAGTCAGCAAACTTGACAATAAAGAGCACAAAATCAAAACAGTCCTTGCTGGCTTCAAAAGCTTGCAAAAGTGATGACTTGAGTTCTGTTATCATATCTGAGAAGTAAAGTGACTCAAGTTCATCCAGCCACTCTCTTTCTGACAAAAAATGAAGAGATGACTTTTCATAGCTTCTGGGATCGTCTTTGGATGGTTTTCTACCCCAGGCATCTGAGTCTGAGGAACATGTTGACAAAGTTTCTTCAAACAAAAAATCATTCTTGCCAGTAGCACCCAGAGAGAAATTACTCTTTAACAAATATGCCTGGCTCATACCGTCTGGCACAATATCATCACTTAGAGTTCTTGGGTTGTTTAATTCTATTTTGTGGTCATTATTTACTATGCCATCATCCCAATCTTCATCAAAATCCATGTACACCACACCTGAACTTGATGAAGCGTCCACTTGTGCTTTCAAGCAACTTAACCGAGAGGCTGTTTCATAGCCTAGTTCACCTCCAGACAAATTTGGATCTGAGCATTGTCCTGAATTAATTGCAAGAACACCATCATCTACTGTAGTATCCACTGTGATATAACCTCGCTTGATTAGTTCGGCTAATTCAGACAACAAAAATATATTCAATAAGCATCATAAATCAATAGCTATAAATTCAAAGGGGCGCGCTCACAATTGCGTACAGTGGTGCCAACAAATTTCTCTTCACTTGTTGCTTTGCTTTTCGCGTCCGTCATACCTGGATCAATCATGTACAATGTACGCAAATTATCACGCGTAAATTATACAATCAGAGTTCAGCACAACAAACAGGGAACGCTTACTTCCCGCTCAAACGCAACGTTTTAAAACTAGCACCACACAGTCATTCATGTTTTATGACACTCACCATCGGCAGCATCAGAACGGAAACAAGTAGCGTCTTCTCTGGCGATCTCATGTTCGCCTTCATCACTGTATCCAACCAGAAGTGCTTCCAAAACTTCTTTAAGAAAACAGTACAGAAACTGAACAGCGACGATCATTACTGTAAAGCTTCTTCAAAACTTGCACTAGATTCAAGGTAGTTTCCGACAGGCGTTCCTTGTCTTGTCGATCCAGTCCCAACTCCATGCTTTGGGCGCTCAAAGTTGTCTTACATCACGTATTTAAAAAGAGGTTTGAGAGTGAAATCTTCCTCGAAAAACGAGATGAGTTATGTTTTGAACAAGCTAAATACAAAGAAAGATGTGGATAATGCGATCAAGAGTTGTGAAGACAAAGTCCTTGTGCTGAGATTTGGGCGAGATGCTGACACAGTCTGTCAACAGCTGGACGATATTGTAAGAAAAAGTGACCCGCTCAGTATCCTTGATGATCATACGGCCATCATTGCCTGTTTATTTTGTCGTGATAACTATTTTTGCGAGCATCATACGCATAGAGGTTAAAAGCAAATTTAACTAGCCTGAATTTCAGACATTCTGTCGAGTTGCATACTCCTCTAAGGGACGTCAGACGTCCCTGAGAGGATTATGCGACTCGAAGGAATGTCTGTAATTCAGGCTACATATTTACTGCACAGTTAATCCAGCTGCGCCCATGATCCCCCCGCTCCCCCCACGGGCTAACGCCCCCCCCCCCCCAGGCATTAGCATTTTTTCTCGTTGGATATCAAATTCCTGGGGGCTGGGACACATAAGCTGCCAAATGCTCTACAGTGGGGACAAGAAAAGGGGACACATGCCCTGTCCTCAATCAACACTGCAGCAGTTTTCATTGATCACACAGTCAAGAAGTACCACTTCAAGCATTTGAATGTGCAAAATCAAGAAATGCATTCAACACTAAAAGAAAGGGGGATAGCCTAAGGAAAAAAGTACATGCATAAAATCAAGAAAACATGCCTTTAAAAACTGATACAATTTCTTCCCGTCCTTGATAGATGGGCCAATATGCTTGTGTTTACTGTAAAATCCTCTATGTTAAATTATATTTGAAAAGGAAACCACATGAGTATCAAAAGCTGGGAGGTGGCCCCTGGGTTGGCAAATGCCCAACTCCCAGGCCATGTAAAAATTGCTAATGACCCAACCCCGGGACTGACAAGGCGGGAAAATGCTCTGCAGTAGCCGGGGGAGGGGGGGAAGGGATGGGCACAGCTGGTATTGGCTGATGTGTAACTACATCAGAAAAGCTTGTAGAATTGAAGGAGTGGTCAAATTTCTGGTCAGCGTCAGGCATTGCTTAGCTCCTCTTCATTCTTAGTGAAAATGTCATTTTGTCTATTTTTTTAAATTTTATAATTCCTTACAAAGCCAAGGTTTATAAATTTGTCAGACACGCAGTGTGGAGATTGCATTTTTTTTCCAATTTGGCAACCCAAGTAAAACCAACAGTCTTTGCAGTTTGCATTTAAAAATCAAATAGGACAATAAAACAAAAACAGAAGAAGATGAAAGAACAACGAGTCCTCACAACAGGATATTTGTGGCTAGTCACCCAACCGGTTCTAAGCCCTGCCCAACATACCCAAACTTGAGTGCCACATTGAGGAGGGTTTGCAAGACACATTTTTTCGTATATGATTACAAGTTTGAAGTGAAAGAAAATAAAATTAATTTAATCCAAGAATAAAATGAACCTTGAAATATACAGACTGAATTTTGTTCTGAAATGTATGACTAATGTTAATTTATATGTGATAAAATGTGATATTTTAGAGATTTAGAGTGACATTTGCAGCAAATGCCAAACATCAGATTCAAGTTCAGAATTTCTCAAAATAGAAAACATGCTTCAAAAAACAGTCCAAAGCGATTGCTATAGGCAAAAGTAACGTAAATGTACTAATTTTTGGGTAGAAGTAATAGACAGTAAAAGACATTTTAAGGGAAAACTTGGTCACGTGTTACAAATAGTATTTCACATTTGCTGTTTTCCATAAACCTGACTGTAAATCTCTCTATTTTAATGCCTTATTTTACCTTGACAACCTAGCTGGCCAAGACTTCTCATGATGTTTCTCGCATGGCTGATATATTCATTGTGGATGTAGATGCAGTGCCTGTCTATACACGCTATTTTGATATCTCTCTGATTCCATCTACTGTGTTTTTCTTTAATGGACAACACATGAAAGTAGACTATGGGTAAGGCTTTGTTACAGCAACTGGAAATTTACAAAAGAGGTTATGTGCTTATCAGCAGCTATCCTGGGTGGTCAACTGTGGGGAAATACGTGGGCATGAGGTGGGATTTGTTGATAGTTGCTGCAACTTTTTAGTAGAGGACATGGGGATTGGATCACTTTCGCACTTTGTTGTACAAATATATCTGCGGAAAGACCCAAAGCATTTTGAATGCACCTAGCAGTCGAGAAGGAAAATTTTAATTAATAATATTATTATTGTTCTTGGGTGGCAGGATTTCTGAACATCTTTGTGCAAATGCCTGGGTTCCCCTGCATTAATCAATGCGTTTAAATAAGTGCATTAATCATTGCGTTTACTGCAAATAGGAAACAGCAAATACCTTAAGTTCAACAACCTATGAAATGTTTTCAGACAGCAGCCAAAATAACTGATGAGTTTATGAATTTTCTTCATGCAGTAGACAAGTAAAAAAAGGTTTAATTTTTTTAGATTTATTTTAAAAGCTTGTTTGGTATTTTATCTTTACAATTTTCTTAATTTCTTATTCTTTTTCTTTCCTCTCAGCACACCTGACCACACAAAATTTATTGGAAGCTTCAAAACTAAACAGGATTTCATTGATCTTGTGGAAGTGATCCTGCGAGGAGCACTGAGAGGAAAACTGATTGTAACAAGCCCCATCGATCCACAGAACATTCCTAAATACAACCTAATATACAATGACATTTAACCGTTTCACTTTTAAGGGTCAATGTTTTACTATTACTGTAGCAATTTTCTGTATCCTCATCAGCTCCGTAAGGTTTTTGTCTTAAGAAAGCAAGCAATGAAAATAATGATGTCTTCTCTCTGATCAATAATAGTGTTTATAATGAAAAGTAGGGACCAATTTATTGAAATAGAGTTCATTGAAGCTATAGATGCAAATTTTGTATGTACAAAACGAAAGTGTGAAAAAAATCCAGACTATTAACGATGACATCTATTAAATAATGACAAATAACCAGTCACTGTATCATATAATATTCCCATCTCACGCTTCACGGTAAAGAGCGTGAAAGTGAAAAAAAAAGATCTGAAGTTTTTGAAAACCTGTGAATTTGTGTTTAATTTCATGCCAAGCATTAATTTCAGTATTCTCCGTGTTTTGCAAGCAAAAAATAGTATCTTTCTCTCTCAGTTATTTTAAAATTTTGTGATAAAAGTAATCGCTAACCTATGATATAGTTCTGCGTTACGTAGACTTAGAAGTTCGCCACCTCATCATGTTGTCTGTCCGTCAAATGAGCTGCTCCTCGATCTTCCATTAAGAAACCCTGCCATTTAAGGTATCTCTAGTTCTCTTCGTTCTTACGTTTTTATGCATCAGAACAGTCGTCAAGAAATCCGTTTTTTTTTTCCTTTGAGAGAATTTTTTCGAACAGTCCATCTCTACTCGAGTCCTTTACTGGAGCTAATTAAAAGTGTGGAACTGACATCGCATCACACTAAGTTCCGTCAGTGTGGCATAAAATTCTTTAGAAGAGGAAACGGTGTAGTTGAATAATATTGTTTTCTTTAGTTAATGAACTTTTGTTGTTGTTGTTCTGTCCTTTTTCGTACCTTGGAAAATCCAAGAATGGAATTTCATTCTCTCCGGTTCCATATTGCAGTCCCACTGTCTTGATGGGTTTAAAACCGCTTAATCTATCTTTGCCGTCCATGAATGAGACAGAAAGTCTAATTTCTGAGTCCCGGTGTTACCCACCCTCCCCACCCTAGTCGGCTGTTTTGTTGTCTGTATTTTCCAATTTTACAGAAACAGAAAATCAAAACTTGGTACTTTTAAAGAGAATAAAGATACATTTATCTGATCGTGGTTGTTCTGTGTGTTATGTTCAGCTGTGGGGTGAATCTCTAAACTCTGTTGGTCAAATTGTCGCTATGCGACAAAGCGCTGTCCTAAACGGTCGTTTCGCTGCAACCAACGTTTTTTATTAAACCGTTTTGAAGCAATTTAGAATGAACTACAAACGGGTATTCACGAGTTAAATACCGTACCATGTCTTGAGGTGCTCCTTGAGAATTATTGCTAGCAAGCCTTGGCGTGAGCGTGTAAATATTTGAGGACCGTATTAAAAACGCTGAAAGGTTTTTCGTTTGTAAATCTCAGGGTAATTCCCAGGGACCAGTCAGAGACAAATAGAAAAGAACGTTTTCAACGTGGCTTTCAAATTTTTAAGAAGTTTTGGTGAAAAGACGTCAGCAATTAAAAGGACGTGCTTATCAGTCTGAATTTTTAATTTGCGTCGTCAACAAAACCGGCGGATTGGGTCGCGGATCGGTCCAACTCTTCACAAAACTTTTGTCAAGAGTTAGACCGAATCGGATCTGGGGCCCGTTTCTCAAAAGTCCCGGTAACTTTACGGGCCCGAAATCAAATATTCAAGTCGAAATATAAAGAATAAGAGCGCGGGTCCTGGCTGGAAAACTACTCCATTTTGTTTCATTAAGTGACAGTTTTATCATGTTAGATGCAAAACAATTGAAACCTCGATCTTTAACGTAAACGGAGACAGCTTACCGGGCCCGTTAATTATCGGGACTTTCGAGAAACGGGCCCCTGATCCGAATGATCCGGTCCGATCCAGGTTGTCAACGGCCAATTTCAATTCAGGAAAGGTGCAATTAATGTTATCTCTAAATTTACTTCCCAACCTCGACCCCTACCCAGGTTTTTCCCTGCATCCCTGGGTTAAAAAAAGAAAACATTGCCGTAATTGATATTCAGTTATATACGATTTCCTCAGTACTCTCCGAGCTACTAGTCAATAGGCAATATTTGCGTCTCCGAACAGATGTTTCACATTTTATAAATTTTGTATACGTCGTTGTTTCAAGGCTCCAAGATACTACTTTAGCGCAGTAGACAGTTGAGCAGAGCAGTAAAAAAGATCCAAAAAGTACAAAGTGCGTGTGATCTGCGTTTTTCGCATCCGCAGGTCTGTAACACACGCATATTGCGTGTGAGTTAAGGTAAGGTAAGGTAAGGTAACTTTATTTAAACACGGTATTTTTTTCAGGTATACATTTACATTGAAGTATAGAGAAACTAACTTCCTAACTAATCTAAAATCCAAGATAAAAACTAAAATAATAAAGATGAAAAGAAAACACCTGCTTTTCAAGGAGGCCGTGTGTAAAAACAGAATATCGCTAATTAAATTATTTGTCAATCGAAATTTAAGTCTCTTAATTTTCCCTTAAATATACTAGGGGATGTCAATTGCCGCACCTCCAGAGGCAAGCCGTTCCATAACACACTTCCGCTGTAAGAAAGACTTCTTTTATAAAATTCAGTACGGGGTTGCGGAACAGCGAGCTTGTATTCATTCTCTCTTAAGGTTATAGCCAGTTAAATCGTAGTTGGCAGGAAGCAGGTCGGCGGCTGTGCCCCGACTGCCAAATTTCAACAACAACAAAAAAAAACTATGAGAGGTAGCCTGTGTGGCAGGCGCAAAAAGAGGAGGGAGGGGGAGGAAAGCGCGAAAGAGAAAAGGGAATCTAATCGCCCTCGCTTCTTCTCTTCTTCTAAATCCCCTGCCCCTTTGATGCCTACATTACGCGCTCTGTATGATAGCAAAGAACGAAAAGGATTCTGGTCTTTTCTTGTTTTTAAATCGAGAAACCCTGGGGACGAGGGCTACGACTACCAGCCTACCTTTGACCAGCGGTGACATACAAAAGGCGGTATGTACGTCATATACGATCATGATTGCCATCTCACTGCAAACGAAAGGAAAAGAAAGATGGCGGAGTTTTATCGCTGTGCAGTTGGTCCGCAGTTATACCGAATTTTCACGAGAAACAGTCGTCAGGTTAGCTTTGGGTGAATGCATTTTATGACACTCTTACCTATTTCATAATCCTCTGAGATCTTTTCGTAATAGTGGATGTTTTTATACTTTACCTCTCCAACTTTGAGCATTTTTTTGGGTTGAGTGAGCTTATTTTGTATGCATTGTGCTCTTTTCTCATCTTCTTCTCGTTATTAAACACAAAACATGTTCTGTAATATAGAGTCGACCTTATGAGGCAAACGGATTGGAGCATTGTGGATCAGGAGTAATTCGTGCTGTAAGTGTAAAAATTAATGTCTGGTAGTTCCCGTTTCTTTTTAGGCCTTTATAATAAAGGTCGTAAGATAACCTCGTGAAGCTTCTTTTTCAATTTATCACTTTTTTAGGTTTTGTTATTCGTGATCTTGTTTTTTCCATCTGGGTGCAGAAGCCTTGTATTAGTACACCCTAAGTTTGTGATAGTACCACAAGAGCCTATGTTTTGGTTCCGTCATGTCTCTTGCATAATTAATCATTCCACTTATTAACTTACACAACCTGAGTTTTAATTCCCAAAACCTTGATTCTAGTCTTGTGACCCCTCATTTATTTAATCAACTTTGCATCTCCATTTATACCCCTGTTGCAGCTGCATGTAACTGTATATTCATTTGGGTAGGAAGGCCCTTTTGAAAAGCGAAAAAAACTCCATTCATTAGTCTGGCTTTCAGGACTTTTGGTTACTGTTTCTTTATAGAGGGAAAAAATTACTGAATGCACAAGCAAAATGACGAGTTCATGCAACAGTGTGAAGAATGTATATGTTGTCGTTAATTTTTTATCTCAGGTAATTTTTCTTTTGTTTCAACTTCATAAGCATACATCATCATACCCAAAAACAAAAGAAAAACAAAAATTACCAATTACCTGCGATAAAAAATTAACTACAGCATATACTCCAAATGTAGAATGCGGAATGAGAAAAGAATATGAATCTATTTTAGTTATTTTCTGTATTATTCTTGCTTGGAATCCATGGTAAAAGTAATTACCTAAAATCCAGAAAATTACCAAGAAATGTCGCGACTGTGAAATTCACGATTTGTGGCTAGAAGATACTTTCAGAAATGACCAGTATTTGCGCTTTTTTTGTTCTTTGTTGTCAAACATATGACATTATTGTTATCATTGTTTTAAACTCATCATTTTGCTTGCACTCTTATACCTGTTTTCCTCTCTAGAGCAATGGTCCCCTTAAAGTAACAAAAGGCCATTAGTCTAGTGAAAAGTTTATTTCCTACCCTGCAAACAATAAACAGGTAATAGAAAAATATGGACTCAAAGCAAAGATGTCTGGAAAAGCTGGGATGTGGGCCTGCACATTATGATACACAAAATTTATTAACACTGTGGAGCCCTATTACAATAAAATTCCCACAAGCCACATGGCCTTGAAACAGCAACATAAACAGTAGAAGAGGTAACAAACAACACAAAGATGGGTTGAAACTGAGAAAACGACAATGGGAAACATATAATAATACATAAATACATGTACAATAGTAAAAAAAAGACAGGGGCATGGCTTCCTCGACAATACATAAGAAAAAGATGACATATATACACCCCGCTCCCCCTGCCCCCATGGGGACATTATGGATGGTCATGGTAGATTACTTAAGAGATTAAGTCCCACGATCCAGAGTCCTTTATTTTATTATAAGTGGATTTTTTTTTTAATTCATAAAAATTTCAGTAGAGTGCAAGTGATAAATGTTATTAATTTTATTTGCAGCTGTCATTAGCATGGTCTGTTTGTTATTCAACTTCACTGTTAACTGCACCTGCACTTGGATTCTACCTTCTGCGAAAAGGTTTGTTAAATTATCATTCACTTTAGTCGACAATGGTCATTGAATATAAGAAGGCAAGCCATTTGACCCAGGCCAACCATTTTAACAGGACACAAGCACAAACTTAATATTCTCTTTTGACTTACGTTTACATTGCCTCTTACCGGTAGGTTTGTTAAGCCATGCTGGTCTAGTCAGCTTGTCTAGGTTTATTGGAACAGGACTAATGATTGTATTTGGAGCATTATGTATCAGAGGTATGATCTACAGAGATATAGTAGTTGCAGTCGACCATGATAATTGGGATTTTTTAATTTTCTTCCCAGGGTGGGGAATGGGGTGGCTACTGGACCAATATTTGTGTAGTTGAGCCCCTGAGGGATTGAAACTCTGACCCTGTTTAGGACAAAAAAAAATCCTAAAATGTATACCCTGTTTAGGATAACACCCTAAAAATTTTTTCCCAGTTTAGGGAGTACCCCTGCCTGCAGGATTTTCTCATACTGACTGTAAATAATGCTGTTATGGTTCTTTAACTTAGGTTTGAGTTTATTGTCTGCAGCTTCACATTTTCATTACTCTAGTAGTAGTAAGAAAAAGTAATTAAAAGTCGATGTAATGTTTTTCTGCAAACGTTTTTGGTTTGTCCAATGAAATTATGGTGAACTGTCCTTCTAAACAGGAAAAGAAAACTATTTAGAGGCCTGAATATGACTGGTGATCCCAACATCTTAAATAGTATTGATTTCGTTATGTATGTTTTTTACTATTTGCAGGGTATGGGCGCTTTAAGAATCAAGATTATAGAGTATTCTTAGCTCTTTTGGAAGAAACAAAAATTGACAATAGTGAAGAAAATAAGGTTTGTTTATGAAGTCAAAGAATTATATTTTTGTTTGTTTGTTTGTTTTTTTTTTTTGCTATTCGATGATCCGGGTACATGTACATTTACCTCCCATGCAAAGTACCATAATTTTCAAGTTAATGCTCTTAGTTTAAAGATGAACAAATTGCTCTCACACACATCACAATAGTCAATAGTCAAAAAGTCAAAATAATGCCTACAAATGTAGCAAATCCAGCACTTCGGCTACTCATTATGTCAATGATAGTTGAATCATGTGAATTTGTTGACTAAATACAGTAATAAGAAAATATCATTGGGCCCCAGTTGTTCAAAAGCTGGATAGCGCTATCCATCGGATAAATCTCTATCCAGTGGATAAGTATTAGGGAAACCTATTGCACTATCCTCTAGACAGAGACTTATCTGGTGGATAGCACCATCCACCTTTTGAACAACTGGGGCCTGGTTTTGTAGAATGATCAGTGTACCATTAAATTAACAGGTTTCTTTTTTTTAAGTTATGTTGTGCAAGTTTTAAAGTCAGTTTGTAAGATTCTCAGTTTCTATTTGTCTCAGCCGGATTATAGCCATGGCTTTACAATGAATTTAATGAAAATGTAGATAAAATGGTTTGAAAACTTATAACCAGAAGGAAAATGAAATATACAAAACACATCATTATGTAATAATTTTTATGAAATATGGGGTTAAGTATGCTTTGCTGTCTTTTTTCAGAAAAAGCTAGGATTATATGACTTCAGTTTTGGAGCCTGGCCAGTTGATTACAAATGGAAAGAATCTAAAGCTAAGTATGTTGACAGTACAGAGCTGAAGATTTTGTTTTTAAACATGCTGTCAATTTCGATTATTTCCAAATTCTTTATGACTTTGAAGTTAGTCCACCACTGGTCCTCAATTAGAGCACCACTTGTGGTGTGCTAGAAGTTCCAGTATATTAATAGAGATATCGATTGATTGATTGAGTGATCGATTGATTGATTGATTGATTGATTGATTGATGTATTAGTGGGACTTTCTTGCAGTCAAACATTTTGTAATATTACTTGTTTTGGAGATTTACATGATTATAGCCTCTTGTGAACAAAATACCCTGGAATACATTGTAGTTAAAAAAAATTCTCTGATGTAACCCATTAAAAGGCGTCACCTAAGTTTCCTGCATAATTTCCCTGTTTATTATTACATCATTCCATTAAACTGCAACAACTATATCTACTTTGGTTTTCTCTTCTCAAAAGCCGTAGCATGTCTAGGGCATCAGAAAGTAACACATCTCAAACAAGACCTACTGGACCTTTGTCTTTCCTTGGAACCTGGCCTTGTGATCTTCTAAGGTACCAATTGTTTTTCTTAAGTATCGTTCAAATGCATGTCCAGATATTTGCGACTCATACAATGTTAATTTACACAATTTTTTCAAGAGTACAATAATGTCACACTTTATTGAGTTACCCAGAACGTTTTCTGGGAATTAACCATTATTTTGAAGGAACGAGCACAGAAATGCCATGTTGATGATATGTCACTAGCCAGAAAATTTTCCTCAACCAATCAGAAGTATTACGCAGATCTGGCTAGTGACACGTCATCAATATGGAATTTCAATAATCATTCCTCAGATTTCATTTAGTGGGAAAATCAGTGGTGGTGTCCCAAATGCAGGCTGTTTTCTCAGGCTAATTATTACTTAGAAGATGATGATTTATTGATTTTGAATTATAACATAATTAACTGCTTACTGGTCAATTTCAGGTATTTCGTAGCTCACACAGTTGGTCGACCACTTATCTACCCTGGATCCACTGGTCTTTTACAAAGTGGATTTGGTAATCCAAAAATAATAATCTTGAATGTTATTTCTATTGGGTTTATTTCTATAGTCATCTCTATATTCGTTTTGCTATCTGTAGATAACACTTGGTACAGTTGTAGCTCTAAATGTACATCTTTATTTAACATTTTTACATTTCGTCAATTTGCAGGGGAAACCTTGTTGACAGGTAGAACGTACCTACTTGAACGTGTGAGTGAAAGCAAACTATTTTTTTAAGAGCTGAAAATACATAGAGGATATTACACAGTGGCGCGAAGATTTCGAGTGGCAAAACAATATTGCACGAGTGAGTAAAATATTGTTTTTGCCACGAGAAAATAAAATTCTTATCTTCAAGCCACCGTGTAATGTTCTTTTTATTATATAGACAAAATGACATCGATAAAACAATAGAGGGAAATTACCAAAATTACGTCATCGATAAACTCACATGTAAGATTATGGAAAATAAACCACTCAGGTCCTGGATGTAGTTTTTATGAAATTTACGAGTGGTTTATTTTCCAGTAAAACACACGTGTCTATATAATAAATATGTGTACTTCTAAATAACTTGTATGACCTCATAATTCCATGAAAATTATACCCACTTTCAGGCCATAATGGGCAAAATCTATACCCATGAGCCATGTTCAGACCAAAATTGGTTAAAAAACCATACCCTTTTGGGCAGAACATTCTAATCATGTAGTTTAATAATTATAAGAGAGTACAGTTGTACCTGCAGGGGTTATTATAACTCATTAATTTTTACACTTCAAGACATATGCTTATTAGAACAGGTGCATATAGGCAAATCTATTTTTTTGGGGGGTTTGTTTTTTGTTTTTTGCTAGACATGGTTAGCATTATTTTTACGGTACAATGCTCAACAAACTAAGGACACATTTTAGACATTTTTCTATGTTTAAGTTGGGAATAATTCAAGCTTTTGTTTAACACATCACAGAATGGTAGAAGAGCTAAGCTAGAGACAGCGGATGGCAATGAGATCGACACTATGTTCATGGACAAGAGATCCCCCAGTGAAAATATTCAGGGAAATGGCGAGAATCTGGTAATATTCTATATTAATAATTCTACAGTGTGTTCTTTTTCTTCTGTTAGGGAGAACAGACCACAAAAATTCGACTTTGTGGAAAAAGTACCAGCTACAAAGTACTCGTATAAATTATTTGAATCTGCTGGACAGACTGAAACAAGTGTAAAACCTGCATCCCCTCAAATGACACCCAATATTTCTGAAGCTCCCAAATGGAATACTGCCAACCATTTGATTTTCCAACTGGAGGTTTTAGTTTCCATGTAAATGGTTAGTATTCAAGTTTTACCACATAAGCGCTGCATAAGGAAATTTCTGGTTCAAATCAACAGGTTATTACCTGTGAAGGCAATGCAGGATTTTATGAAGTTGGACTGATGGTGACACCATTAAAAGGTTGGTAACTTTGACTCAGGGTAACTGATTAAATTTTTTATTAAGTTTCATATGTGTTAAGCATCTACATGTATATCTAAAATGTTGTTAAATATGAGTTAGCGTACATGTAATAAACACCATCAGAGGAGAAAGAAGAAAAACATGTAACAAAAGGTCTTTCGCATCCTCTTTATCTTTTAGCTGGATATTCAGTATTAGGCTGGAATCACCCTGGTTTTGCTGGTAGCAGTGTAAGTTTGTTTATTTATTATCATTGTTTCAAATATTGTTTTCCTGTTTCTGATTGGCTTTAATCCCCCCACTAATTATTAACCAGCTGGCACTGACCAAATTTGTAGAAGGTGCCTACATGTACATTATACACACCCTTGTTCCAGGGGTCCATGATTAGAAAGAAATAACCTGTACACACAGATTGAGAAAGCTCCCAAGATGTTTTAGTTTATTTTTTTTTCTTTTTATTCTCGGCGCTTCACACCTTACTATAACACTTTGCACAATGAACTAACCCAACTTGCCATGCACATTCAGTTGTTGTTATCTACCAAGACTGTACGGTACGTTCTACCCTGGGTTCCAGAGAATTTTTTCCTCGCCTAAGTCCTGATAGTTTGTGGCAAAGACAACATAATGATAATAAAACTAATAATGCTGATGATGATGATGAAGATGATAACAATGGTAATGACTGTGTCATTTACTGCTTTCATTATCAGCCTTCAATTTTATTTTTTATTTTGTCATTTATTCCCCATTTTTAGTTCCCTCTTTTTCGCCTAGATCTGTGTTATGCAAGGCTGTTCTCACTTGCATGGTTTTGGAAATAAAGATAATAACTATATCTTTATTTCTTTTTTTTTTTAACTGTTATTTTATAGGGACTACCTAGCCCAGAATCTGAGAAAAATGCTGTAGAAGTTGTGATACAATATGCCATTGAAAAGCTGGGATTTCCTGCCGATAAAATTATTATATATGCCTGGTCAATAGGTAAGCCTTAAGACAGTTGATTTACTTGCCTACTGAATGAGATCAGCAGCTTGTTTTCATTACTCATGGCTGCTAGTGTCTAGCATTTAAACATGAACTACCGAAGTGATAGAAACATCCAAACTTTACAGTATCAACAATTTCTGTTTCTGCAGACACTCTCTTTTAACAGATGCTCATTATTGTCCATTAATAATGAGAAGAAAGAAATTCGTAAAAACGTCTACATCAGAGAGATTGCATTAGCATTCATTTTGTAGTAATTCTCTTTATTAAGTCAAAAGATAAAAACCACATCTTATGTACGCTGAAAGGCTTACTGTATCACCAATCCGGAGTGAAGGAAATATTATTTGATGCTGAGTAGACGAATGCATTAATGCAGCATCTCCAAGACCGCAAAACTGGCTTCGAGACAGAGAATTAAATTTAGATTCATGGGCAATGTTAGAATGGTACATCTAACCAGAAAGACGAAATCGACAATACAAAGCCAATTAACAGGGTTAAGAATCTCAACTGGTATGGGACGAGCCAGTTGGCTGTTAATTTTTACAAGCGTGGCCGAGGATTTGAACTCACGACTACCGAGAACAAATCCAGCAACAGGTCAGAGTATGACTTGAACTCAGGGCCTCTGAATTGCAAGTCTAGCGCTCTAACCACTCGCCAGGCTTCCTCGTACCAATTCTCAATGCTAATTTTAAAAAGAGACGTTATAGCAGTAAAAATTGTGATGCTGGAAACCACGAAATGTGTCTGTGAGTAAGAAACCGAAAAAGGGTCTGTCTTGGAGGCCAAACATCAGCAATTTTATATGAGGGCTCACTGTAGCAACATAGCGACTGCATTAACATACATAACAAAGATAAAAGTTTGACTGAAAGTTTCTCCAAAGCTACTGATAATAGCCGAACGAGAAGGAGTGCTTGACAAAGCCCTACCAACATCTGTGTGGGGGGCTATACGTATGGCAGCTTTGTTTACCGTGATCTGTTTTTATTTTAGGTGGTTATCCCGCAGTCTGGGCAGCAAAAGTCTACCCACAGATTGCAGGCATGGTAAGAGAAAACATTGAATTTCCAGGGCAACAGACGGTTTTGAACTATAGACACCCTAGAAACCACTTACACTGTAAGATACGAAAAGGGGATTGAAGCCGAAATGCGTCCCGCCATTGTCTCTGGCATCGTTACTGGGCACGCGCCGGTCAGCTATTGGTCAATTTTTGTCGTGTCCCAGAAGTCTTTGCCATAGTTAACTCAGTCCAGTCTCTTTTTCGTTTCTAAATTGACGGTTTTTTGGATTCTTATTTTACTTAAACTTCAATTTAAGATCATGATAAAAAATAAATTTCCTCTACTTCGAAAAATATTCCCCAAAACTAAACTCCACAATCATTATAACCTTAAAAGGAAGGGAGTGGGAAAGGAGTGAGAAAGTTTTTTCCGATTTCTTAACTGAGTTCTATCTGAACTATGTGGAATAAAATCATTGTTGCTGTTGAAAGGCAACCGTACTCGTTTTCAGGTGTTGTTGTTTCTCCGGTATTTTGACTCAAATAAAAGCAATGAATTTGAATGCAGTTGCTAAGGACTTTACCAGGAAAACCAGACTGGACCGGTCCAGTTAGTTGCCGCAATGGCTGAATCCGCGAGCGGGTAAGATGAAGCGAATCCTGCATTCTGATTGGCTACCCGAGCGAGCACGCCCGCTCAGGATTTCCCGCGTTGGCCCCGCAAGGAAAAGTTCTCTTTTTGGCCATACAATAAAACCTTTATTACCAAGCTTGTTCATTCAACTCAATAAAAACGCAAATGAAAACTTCGCCAATATCGACACTGAAAATTAAAAAGATCTGTTTCAGCCCCAAAGTGTCAATTCAGCTCTGCAGGCCAAAGTCTGATTCAGCCCTTCCTGGAACCTTTTGAGCACAATTTAAGCCAAAACAGCTCAATCAAAAGGCTATTCCAGCCCACAGTAGGGCCCATTTCAGCCCTAGCTAATTGGACGTATTGGCCCTGTTTTAAGGGAGCCAAATTAGACTCAAAAAAAGGACTGTATTTTACTCACCGAAACGGCCCTATTTTTAGGGCTAAAACAGATCTTTCTGATTTAGAGTGGAGCCATCATGACTTCACGCGGATCATAATACGTTTCTGGGAAACTGCCCACCTACCCCTCTCCTAGGCCAACGTTAACACTAATTAGGGCAAAATGTTGGCTTAGGAGCCCTTCACGCTTGGATCCCCAAAAGTAAAGTGCCACAGGGAATTCTAACGGGTTTTTTATTGTCGTAATAGGTTCTAATGGTGACTGTTTTATTAGACCAGTTCACCATAAAACTGACCTTTATTCGTTACTGTTTGCAGGTATTAGATGCTACATTTGATGACCTAGTTCCTTTAGCGCAAACTAAGATGCCTGAAGCCATAAGTGAGTCGAGTTGAAAACAATTTTACATTTGCCTTGTCTTGTTCTTTTGCCATCCAAGCTTGATATAACTGTTCTTATATATTATATTGTTAAGTCTTTTCTACTTCCGTGACTGGTCAATTTTCAGTCCATTACTTACTGTCCTTACTGAACTAACCAAAGTTTAAGCGGGAAAGATCTATCTCAACAAAAATAAAGCCATCACAATGTAGTTTGATTGTGATTCGTTTCGTCTGCTTTTTTCAATAACAAAATTGTAGTTTTTAAGGCCTGTACTGTCAATCCTCTGCCAGCGTCCTGTTTTTGTTTCACGGAAAGAAAGCCATTATAATGAACATCTTATTAGCCTTGCTGTGTCGATCCGTACGATAAATTGCTTGTCCAGGATTGGCCTCGCTCGCTTCACCCTCAGCCATTAATCGCAGGAGACAACTTTGCCCGTGATTTACAGTAACTATGAGGTGCATCTTTAGACACATATTTTCTACGCAATCACAGAAACAAAGTACATGTATATTTCCCACCGAAGCCCCTCCCCCTCCCCCTCTTCTGCCCCTCATTCTACATCTTCATTGAAATCCCTATTTCCGGTTAATTCGGTTGGGAATACGACTTTTTGGGTCGTTCTAGCGGAAAATTTCCGACAGCAACAGAACATCCAAAAGGTAGTCCTGTATTTCCGGACGGCATGCTCCAAACGGAAATTCGTGTGTCATTTTTTCAAAGCCGCCCATCTTTAATGCAAGTTTCAGGCCTTCGCGGTCGTTTTTCGGTAAATGGAACTGATTTTACAAATGGTAAACGCGATTCTGGGACGAAATTTACCAGTCCTGAATTTTCCTTACCATTTATCCAATCCGTAAACCGACCAGGTTGCCCATTTAAATGGTAAACAAGCCCCGTCTCTGGTTCAATTCTATCTTGTTGTTACTACTGCATAGAAACACAACAGTCAGGGCATTTTGCGTTTATAACAGGACGGCGTACTCAAATCTACCGGACTTTAACCTGAAAACAACCCAACCCACAATCTTTGTTGTTGTTTGTTGTTGTTAGAAAACTTTTCTTTGCTTCTTTCCCTTGCGCTGTCTGAATCTGCTCTCTTGCATTTTGTTCAGGTAGTTTCACAACAAGGGTCGTAAAAGAATATTTTCATCTGGATATTGCTCGCCTTCTCTGCAGGTATTTTTTTATTGTCGTTGCCTACTTAATGACTTTAGTGGCTCTGTTGATACTGTTCAGTGTTTTGCTTCCCCATTGCCAACTTAAAGAGGCTGCGTCGTGGCTGTCTGTGTTATTCCTAGTTTTTCGATATCGCCAATTGCGTGTCCTTACTTGCTATGGGTCTCAAAGTTAGTAAAGAAAATACTGGAAAACAATCGAATCACAGCTTCGTGTCAAAACTATTTGTTTCCCTAGCATTATCAAACATTGTAAACAACAAAATTGAACTCTGAGAATCTCTTACGCTAACAAGCTTTCAAAAGCCACATTCTCAGTCAGTTTTTGTCGTCTTCAGAATTGTCCATCCGTGAAGGTGACCCTGTTTTTTCACAAACCCTCCTGCTTTTCATGAGCAAATTGTTTCATTGTCATTCTAACAACCCCGTGAACATGATAATTTACAATTGAAAAACAGGCAGACAACTGTAAAATGGCCTTTCAAGACAGGCCTCTTGTTGTAAACTTCGTTTGTCATTCGCCACTTTAGAAACGAGAAGAAAACTCATGAAAAAAGTGGGCTGAAGTTAAATTGGGCAAAGACTCCAGAGACTGTTACTTGGGATTGGCCAATAGCTGACCGGCGCGTCCCCAGTAACGATCCCAAAAAACAATTGCGAGTCTCATTTCGCCACCAGTCCCCTCTTAGTTTCTTAAATGGCCTTTGAGCGACATTTGCCTTAGTCAACTATTACCATTAATCTGGTTACGTTATTCGTATTCCTAGCTACCCAGGTCCAGTGCTTTTAATCAGACGCATGAGAGATGAGATTATCACTACTGAGTAAGCTTTTTCATTTCTTCACTCACTCGTTTATTTCTTTGTTGACGAACACTTGCTTCAAGAATTGAAAATGAACTTTATATTTGTTTCAGGGAAGGAGAAATAAGCTCAAACCGTGGCAATGATTTGCTGTTGAAATTTCTTAAGTTCAGGTAATGATCTAAGATTGGTTTGATTTGTTTGTTTTTTTGTCGCTATTATTTTTCTACTCTTTATTCCAACAGTTTCCGGCCGTTAGCCTTGTCCAACTTTGGTGTGTGTTTATAGGGAACAAACGTCATTTTTCCATAACATTTTTATCTCATGTATATTGTTAATTAACTTGAGCTTACTTGATTAAAAAGGTCTTTTTCTCTCTTGCTCTTTCTCTCTTTTTTTTTTTTTGTTCTCGTTAGATATCCTAATCTACTTGATAGCGATTGTGAAGACATGTTACAAGAGTACCTTGCCGCCCCAGATCAAGCTACTAAAAGTACGTTTTTGTAACGTTGAGGACTTCTGATACCTTCTTTTAATACCAAGTCAGACCGTGAATTTTATCTTCTTATATCCGTTATTTACTGGATGGAATGGTTACCACTGTGAGGCCCTTAAACATAACAATCTACATCATGAGTAGGTTGAGTTTGATCGTCCGAGTGAACGTAGTCCTGAATAGGACTGTTGTTGTGGACAATGACTGACGTTTCGAAAACCTCTGCGGTAGTCATCTACAGTCATCTTCACTCTGACTCTGAAGATGACTACTGCACAGGTTGTCGAAACTGTCGAAACTTCAGTCACTGTCAACTAATTCGTTTCCATGTCTCTTGATCGCGAGAACTCACATTTTCTACAAGAGAATTGTTTAGGGAAAAAGTTTAAGTAGAAGTTAAATTCGGTTTCTTCTCGCGTCATGTATTATTCTGTATTTGTATTTTTTTTATTTATCCGCGATGTTTTGCCACAATAAGAATTCTTTCTCCGGTTTGCAGGAGCAATTTGGGATACACTTAACGTGGACATCGATTTGTGTCGATCGATGTACAAAAGTTACACCGAGGTGAACGGAAGAGAGTTCCCCATGATGATAGGTAAGTCAGTGCGTTGGGGAGTCATGGACACCTGTTAACTTACCGTCAGGGACAAGAGTAGCAGGGAAGTTGGCCTGCAGAACAGGCGTTAGTTTTTCGCGTTTTACAAGCAAGCGCCAAGCGAGCGAGCGAGGACTGGGAGATACGCGCGACGTGGGAAGGCGTAGAAAAGAAAGGAAGGAAGGTGCCTTTCTCCGTCGCGCCTATCTTTCGCTCTACGCCCGCCCGTTCGAGTCAGTTTGACGGAACAACCGGTCAACAGCGAACTGACCTAGCACGTTATCGAAACGACTTAAGACGCTAGCGAACAGGGCTGAGTTGCTCAAAGGATGGTTATCTTTAACCATTGGTTAAGCAGTATCAAAACCAATACGTTGTCAAGGTATTAAACGCTGGTTAACGCTAACCATGTTTCGAGCAACTGGGCCCAGGGCATAGTTCTTCTAAAGGGGGAAAAGTCTATATTGGATAAATCTATATCTAGTCGATAAAGCAATTGGTCTCCCTAATACTTATCCGCCAAATTGTGATTTATCCGCTATCCAGCGTTCGAACATCCGGTGTCATGACGTTCGCGAAACGACCAGTCACCGATAGTTCGTTAGCTAACATTCCTAAGAGAATGTAGAGCTACAGTCGAACCTCCAATAACAGCCACCTCTCTACAACGGCCACATTTTTTGTCCCGGCGGACAGTCCATACATTGGCTCTTGTTCAAACCTTAAGCCACTAAAGCATGTCCCCAACTGCCAAAATAACCTCTCAACTACGGCCAGTTTTTTCAGCGGCTGATGAAAACGTCAAGAATGGTCATGAAATTTGAACCGTATTGCGCATGAATGACTAATCGCACCAATCGTATTTTGATTGTGTTACTGCTGCAGTAACCATAAATTGTCTACGACTCTTACATGTATGGCGAATGCTACAAACCTTGCTCGTTTTGTCACGTTTTGATTCAAAACGTTTTTCAAGTTTTTTTGTGTATTTTATCTCTATATAGTTATTATATATGATTGAATTACCACTATGGGATACAATAAGCATGAGCTTAGCACAATAAACATGTTGTACTCCCTAAAAAATATTGTCATATTACCCCCCAACCTCCCCATAACGGCCTCTTTCTTTTGTCCCCATGGTGACCGCTGTGGAGAGGTTCAACTGTAGTTTTTACGTGCATAGCTTGTTTTCCCTCCCCGTTTTCCTCGTTTTATCACAAAATAGGACGAATTTTCAAAGCAGCATCTTTTTCAAGCAAATAGTTTTATTTTATTTATATCTTGGTTTGTGTTCTGTGTCATTCGTAAGAATTAATCGATAATTACAGTGGAACCTCGATGTATATAACACACCTCTTGATAACGAAGTCCTCGGCAAAACGAGCGATATTCTTCGCCCATTAATAGTAATACATATTGAAAAGAACCGCGACATAAAGGAAGCTCTTTATAAGGTTTGTTTTATCGAGTTCCCACTCTACTGATGTAACCTGCACCGAATGGATGTTAATGTAAGTCGCTCTTTGTTCGGCTCAGACTCGGATCATCTGACGATGAAAACCTATTCGCTATTTTAAAATGAGAAGGAAACTGGGGCGAGCTAACTTTCGCAAAGACCTCTGGGATTGTTACTGCGGACGGGGGAAAAACTGAATTGGACAATAGCTGACCGGTGCGTTCCCAGGAACAATTGGGGGCACATTTCGGCTCCAGGTCACTTCTCGTTTCTAAAGTGGCGAATGGACTGTTTACGTATGTTATACCCGAGACCGCCCTATCACCACCCAAGTATTATGGAGCATTGTTATTGTTTTGTATTAGCGGGGTATCCAGTCTTGGTTTTAAAGCAATATGATTCGCTTTATATTCGCCAGTTAAGTCCTTTGGCTGATATTCCCTCTTAGTTTTTCGGGAAAAGCGTTTCTTTAAAAATTCCCGAAAGTCTTTCATCTGAGCGAAGTAAATTATGATGTTCAATACAGGGTTTAGATACCCTATACTACCAGAACCATAACGTATCATATAGTCAGTTGAGAAATCACGTTGTGGTTTAGCAATCTGTGTATAAGCTATATTGACTACAAAGAGAGAGAAGGGAAAAATGAAGGCGAATGTCAGTGCTACAAGAAGAGAGATTCCTTTGATTCTTGTGGCTCTTAAATGAGCCTTGAACGCATTGTTCATATTACAGGAAATTTGTCCTTTACGCTTCACCCATACAGTTCTGATTAAAGATACATTAACGTATATTATAAACACAGTGGGAAATACGAACTGTATTGGGAAGAGGATGAGTGTTAGTTTGAATGGATAGAAAAGCTCAACATTTCGGCAGATGACAGTGTAATGAGTGTCGTTAAGGTTGACTCGTATTCCATCGTACGTGGCTGCGGGAAACAACATCACAAGAATTCCTAATAACCATGCTGCTATAATCATTTTCCGCACTGTCGAGGCACGAAATGTTCGTGGGATAGGGCGAGTTGACAAATACTTCTCGAGACTTATCACTACTAGATTGTTGATCGTGATGACAGGAAAGACGAAGTTTAGGTATCGAACTATCTTACAAACCCACCCGCTTTGGAACACATCTAACGACATCTGCAGACAGACAAGTGGCATAGACACCGCACAAGAAAGCAGGTCTGACAGGCAAAGACTTCTCACATGCGTGTTCAGATTCTTTGCAAAAGAGTTTGCCTGTAGTGGATTTTTTCTCGGCTTTTTCCGCAAAAAGTAGAGGATGAGACAGCAACCTACAAATCCGATCCCGCCAAAACAAGCCAGGAGGAAGCAGAGGACTTGTTTTGCCGCGTATAGAGCAGGCGTAAAGACGTAAATAGCGGAGTCGTTTGTTCCGGTATCATTGTTAAAAGCAGATGATTTGTTCCAAACCACAGTGTTAAGAAACCCTGATGTTTGGTTGTTATCCATGTCTTCACATCAACCTATTTTGAGAGAAAACACACAAAGTGGATTTCTTTCGATTCCGAAGTTTAAAGATACCTTCGGGGTTGTCTCACGCGCAAGTAAAGTAGCACGTTACGGTTAAACTGCAGTTACCAAAAAAAAAAAAACAGTAGGAGAAAAGCTTCTTAGTGTCGTCATGGACGTCAAAATCTCATGGGCCTTGACTATCTTATTAAAAGGCTGAACCCTAGAATATGCCTAAGAGAGCAAAAACCTAGTACTTATCCATTGAGTGTAGGAAAATTATTTATAATGCCCTCGAAAAGCCAATTCTGGAGTACTGTTGAACCTAGAAAGGCTCTTGAGACTACAGAAACGTGGTGCGAGATTAATTTTGCATGCCACCTTAAAAACGCTGTAAAGCTTTTCGATAAATTATCTTGGCTGCTCTCTCCTCTGTAGAGGCCTCTTTGTGTCGTGGGGGGTGGGGAGGCTGGGGAGAAGGACAAAAGAAAGCGCGCGGGGCATTAATGCGGGGCACGCCTTTTGCGTCTTCCCAACGTCACCCTCGCGTTAGCTATTCTTGGATTATTACTATTTGTTATTGGGATACTCAGTGAGAGCCGCTGTGGCTGCCAATAAATGACATCATACGGCGTGTAAGAAAACTTCTTATGCTACATAAAGTGAGTCAAGATCACCGTACTCTCTGAATAGGGTTTGTTTGTTTCCGTGTTGTTGTTTTTAGAAAATACTCTTCAGAAATATTGTGTTGGAAGTTTTTGGATTTCACAATGGAAACGGATTTTAAACAATTGTTTTCGAGTTTAAAAATGCAGTAGAAATATTGTTTGGTCTCAGATTGTTTGTTGTTATTGTTGTTGTTGTTTTTTTGTTGTTTCTTCATATTTCAACTATCTTTCTTAAAACTAAAAGAGATGTCACTTCATCCGAGTTTTAGAAATATTCGGTTGAAAGTTTTTGGACATCAATAGAAATATCGTTTGGTCTCAGATTGTTTATTGTTGCTGTTGTTGTTGTTATTGTTTTTTTTTTTGGATGTAGACTGTCTCGCTTAAGAGTAAAAGAGATATGACGTCATCCAAGTTTCAGTTTTAGAAACGTTAGTTGAAAAACATTCCTCCTTTTTTAAGTTTAAAGTTGACGGGCAAAAAAAGCTATCATAGGAACTTGCGTTTTCAAATGAATGCATTCATCCTCATTCTCTGTGATTTTTCATTTTTTAGGGAAGAATTATGAAATCTGTGAGTTCAAATTATGAAATAGAAGGAACTCGGAATAAAACAACTGGTTTCGCAATTTGAAGGAACACTTGCATACTTTAATACACATAAAGAAAAAAAAGTTACTTCTCTGTCAGTTTTTCTGTAAAAGATGTTTGAAATGTTAGAGTTACAGTTAAATAGAAGGTACTAGGATAAAAATAAGCGTTTTGCAAATGGATTTCCGTTTTTGGAAAATCACCTGCATGCTCGCGTACAAAAAAGCCCGTTGTTAGGTTTTCTACAAAAATAATTCTGAAATCTGCTAATGAAAATTTACCAAGTAAACGGTACAATTTCGTCCAGAAAATGTAAGTACGCTATCGTATGTTATGGACTACCGTGTATTACTTACGTTTTTGAAGGCGGCCCACAAGAACACCAGAGTTATGGACGAAATACTCTGACCCCGCAGGTCGAACAGAAAAAAATGAGCAGTCCCATGAAATGCGCAGCTCTAATCTAGACCAATCCTGTCTAGTCTCTGGCTCATTTTCAAAACAAAGGTTTTGCACGTAGCTTCTTTTTGAAAATGAGGGTTTTTTTGGAACCCGGAATTGGCCTATTGTCAACGCGCAACTGATGATGCGTTCATCGAATCATGTTATTGTACAAGACTTTGAACAATTTCCTGACCACAAAACACCTAACCGGCAATTTCCGCAACCCGAAGAAACACATTAGGATCAAGCTGGAACGCGTGCGTTACGTTTGCTGTTAACCTGTGTAGTTTGCGGGATCAAAGTTCCACCTCGTTCAACCGGGAGAAATTTGCCAAAGCTAGGAGAAGTATCTTAAATCTAAGGTTGTTTCTTTCACTGTACAAAGTTGAATCCACTCCCAATTCGCTGTTAATTTACTTCACTTTTCGAAAGGTTATTAGTAAATGTTTTGTTTGAAAACTGAAACCGGTGTCACTCCCCGCGCCATTTGTCAACAAAAAAGAGGCTTATAATCAGAGAAAGATTCAAAGAGAGTCAAAACTACCAATTCTTCTAAACATCCTTGTCTTTTTATTTATTTATTTATTTATTTATTTATTTATTTATTTGTTTATTCTTTTACTAAATGGTAAATTAAACCCCACGTAAGAAAAATCCGGGGTGGCACAGCTTTACTACAAAAAACGCCCGAGGAAAGATAAATCCCGCCAGCTACAAAGCCTACATGTCGTTTACGGTAGCTGTCCTTGACTTCTCCTCGTCCATTCAACTTCTAGAAAATATATCCTATAGCAAAAAAAAAATAAAGTGCTGGTACGTGTACATCTGTCGATACAGCCTAAAACTTTAAAGCGGTGAGCGAAGAACCTGGTAAAGAGAAATAACTGACAGCGATTTGGTTATGTAGATTCGTTTCTATTTTTTCCGTATGCAAAGGAAAAAAATGCGAATATCAGAAACATTAACAACTCTAGAAGACCGCCTATCGTTACTTTCGCTCCTAATTTAGGGAGCGAGTTACCGATTGAAATGTGATTTTTCTTTTTAAAAATGCTGGGCTAGGTTTTATGTGAAATGTTTGAATTTATCCATATTATTGTAATTCCATTTTCACTTTTTTATATATCTGTTAGGCTGGTCAATTGCTTTAATTCTTTAACTTTTTCATTCTTTCCTATTTATTAAATTAGTTATGCCAAACATGATGTATCAACACGTAGTTAGGTCCTCAAAATAGCGCGATATAAATAAAATAAGTATTGGATTATCTTTTAGCATCAATAACTCTGAGAGGTTCTAACACTACCGTTAACTGGTAATTGAAAATTAGATTTTCAACTCGTCACTCACTACTCATAATGACCATGGAGGACTCAATAATCAGTGCCACTTTGATTTATTTCCGTATTGTAACATGCGCCTTTCAGTTGTCAAAACAGTTGTCACTCTGCACTGATTTCAAATTTTACACTGGGTACCAGACGTTTTTTTTTTTTCGCGTGCGGCATGATACTTCGGGTCGACACATCTTCGGCCGATGGACGAAGCCACGATCAGGGTTGCCGAAGCATGATCCTTCGGGCCTACACATCTTCGGCTGATGGCCGAAGTTACGATCAGGGTTGCCGAAACCGGAAACCGCGCATGAAGACTCCCTGGCACCTGGGGCCTAGTTGTTCCAAGGCCGATTAGCGCTAACCCAGGGTTAAATTTTAATCTAGGTTTCTTTTTTGTGTGTGTGCAAGTGTTTTTACAGAAGGTCTTCCGTTCTAGTAACCCAGTGAATTTTTCTGTTGCTCTTAGGTCAAGATCTTTCTGTGGAACAAAAGACTCATCTTTTGATGTTTCTGGTAAGATACATTGTTCGCATTTTTAAAGCATTTGAAGGGAGCTATGTCACGAGGACAGTGCTGTTTAAGGTCAATTCATTGCTTAAGTCATTATTTAGAGCCAATGTGGCAGCCAGTTACAGAAAACCGCGTGATATCAAAGATCTTACAGAAAAATAGCGGATTGCCAACAGTCTAGTCTAGTGAATAGGAAGCTTAAGCGAAGACGTTTTTGAGCTATGCACGTCAACCGGAAGTGAGGCCTTCTATATATATGCCCAGTTCAGTTACCAGCGCCGTACAAACGACTTATTGACGAGATCAAGCAAAACTAACTACGAGAGAACGACTGGAGAACTGACAATTTGACTAACAATAGACGACTGACAACAGGCTGATTTAGCAACAGAATGGGAACGTCAGTTGACAACGGCGCGCGCAAATCACACAACTGGCTTGACCAATGGCAGAGCGGCAAATTGGGCACCGGAAGTCGTGTTTAGCCCTTTCCGCGCGCTTTCCCGTCGCCAAATGAGGTTCCCGTCCTGTTGCTAAATCAGCCTAATAGACGGATCGAAACGCGCCAATTACTGATTACGAGTCTTCATAGCCAATAACATCACGGCTTAACTGACAGACGACCAATAACATCGCAACGTAATTGACCAATCAGACCAATAACCAGAGTATAATGCCATCAACTGACGTGATACAACTCACTTTGACTCTGAAGATGACTACCGCACAGGTTGTCGAAACGTCAGTCACTGTCAACAACAACAGTCCTATTCAGGACTACGTTCACCCGGACGATCAAACTCAACCTACTTTTAGCCCGTGTACAGCTGTCCCCTCCCCTCAGAAAAATTGGAGAAGGGGCGTTCTCCGATTTTTCCTGAGGGAAGGGGGCGTCGGGCTGTAAACAGGCTAACTTTTTGTTGATTTTCATAGGTTTTGCAGTATCTGATGGATTTTGATGCCACTCATTGCATCTCACTGCCTGCCTCAGAATTTCGTCTTCCATGGGATGAGCAGTAGTGGCTGCTATTATAGTTAACCCTTTTAAGTCCCAAGAGGGACCAAAATCAATTTTCTCCCCATGTTTTACTGCGCAGTTAAGAGAAAAGGTGATGAGAATTAATATAGTTATCACCTAAAAAATTCTTTGCTCTTTTGCCAAATTCTCCTAACTAACTAAGATCAGTCTGGAGAATTTGCATGCGGATACTGGGACTTAAAGGGGTAACAGGCTTCCTTCCACTCCGTGACAAACAAACCGATATGATTGTTCCTAACCGCTTAGTAGCTCGCTTCTTTGTTCCTGACCTCCTAACTGCGCTCAGCTACATGTCATGTCTGGCAGCCCTTTAGGAACCAAGGAAACAAGGATTTATGACGGGTCGAGTTTTTTTGTCAGCTTATGGCGACAAGTAGTCGACTGCGAGTAGACAGACCCTGTTTAGCCTCGTCCCCAGGCCAGTTGGCGCCTCCCGAGACCTGAGCAAATTTTTTCGACAAGCTTGACAGGCGACGTGAAATCCGAAATCGCTGAGGACGGCTGGGAACGAGGCTGGGCGCTGTTCTTTTTAGCCCATGAAGCGAAATTCGCTCGAGAAAAAAATGGCCATGCGCTCGACTTTGGAGCAAGGTGCTCTAAAATTTTAGTCTTATCAACGTTGCAGAAAAAGAAGGGACTACTCGCAAACTAGACGAATTACTTTTTGTCCCTTTTTTTTTATGTATAACTTTTAATAGTTTTAAATTATTATCGAGGCAGTCTCTCTTGCTTCTACTTAGCTGAATTAACGAACAAATGGAAACATAGCCTGCGAATACATTCGTTGCCTCTGGTCGCCTTCTGCCGTTAGGAACATTAGGCGAGCGAAAAACAGATAATTGGATTGAAGAGAAATTTGCGCAGTATCGGGTCTTTACACTAGTCAATCTTTAAAAAAGATATTTAAGATTATAGTAGAAATCTTGTTTAATCATACTTCTTAGTGTTTTATTTAACTCCAATTAATGTTAGCTTTTGTGGAATTTGGTTGTGAAAATTTACATCAGTGGAGTTTTAATAGACTACTTACTCAAAAATATATACGTGAGTACAATCTTAGAGCAAATAAACTGAAAGTGATGAAACAGTTATTAAATTGTATGGTCTTTGTTCAGTGTAAGGTGAAGGGAAACTTAAGGGTGCTTGCACACAGTCTCCTCTCTAATACGCAGCCATTGTCGTATCCAAACCTGTCGTATCTCCTGGTCACGTTAGGGGCGTAGCTACCTGTACGTACGGTACGCACGTGCGTTCCTGGAAAAACTGAGGGTAAAAAAAAATAATAAAATAATAAGATACAAAAGTGAATAATGATAAAAAAGACCAAGGGATAAGGTAGATAAAAGTTTGTTATTGTAAAAGCACAGTTCGGCTCAATTCATTTAACAATGGACTGTTTGATTTTTCTTTTTACACCCGAATGTCGGCTTCCAGAAAAGAGACGTGATTTATTGGTGGACCGAATCTTCAGTGGTACCGTATATGTAATATATATGTTTATTATATAAACACCAATGAAATACCAGGTGAGCTTTCGCGCGAAAACTTGATATCCTCACATGTGAAAATAACATGTTTTATTATATAGACACGAGTGTTTTACTGGAAAATATACCACTCGTAAAATTCATAAAAACTACATCCGGGACCCGGGTGATTTATTTTCCATAATCTCACATGAGTTTATCGATGACGTAATTTCGGTAATTTCCCTCCAAAATTTGTAGGCGTCTTGCGTCCTTTGAATTTTAATTACACATTTTTCAAAGCTTTGCTTATATTTTGCCATTGTAAAGCCCCATTCAGCTCAGTGTTATTTCTCAAAATTATTGTAAACAATGTCTTATATTGCTGTACTGTAAATCTGAGCCGTCACAATTACTTTTTGGCGAATAAAAATCTATTATTTTATCGATGTCTTTTTGTCTATATAACAAAAAGAACATTACACGGCGGCTTTAAGATATGAATTTTATTTTCGAGTGGCAAAACAATATTTTACGAACGAGCCCAGCGAGTGAGCAAAATATTGTTTTTGCCACGAGAAAATAAAATTCATATCTTCGCGCCACCGTGTAATATCCTCTATATCTTCACATGTGAAATACCACCGTTGCTATGGCTTCATAATAAATCGCGCCTTTCACACCAAAAAACTATTAAAGTGAAATGGTTTTGTATTTCAATGGTGTTTATATAGTAAATAGAACATTACGCGGCCATGTAATATCCTCTATATCAAGCTTAAGACGCAGTGTTTCATCACCAGATGAAACACTGAGAAGAGAGTTGAAAATACGACGCGCAGCGGAGTATTTTTGACGAACTTCGAGGTGTTACATCTGGTGATAAAACACTAAGTCAAATGCTTGATGTTAAAATACGTCTCAAACGAAATGATTTTAGACGGAGAAATTAACAATGCAAAAACAAGCAGTTTTTCATCTGATTTCCAAACACTTATTAAAGAATTTCTTTGTGGATTATTAATGAGTTTGAGAAATAAAGAGAAACAACGGGAAAAGCCCCAAAAGGCATCTCTGTGCGTTTGAAAATGTAGCCTTGAGTTATGAAAGCGATTGAGGTGCTTTAGTCAATGAACTCAAAAAAAAGGCGACAAAGACTTTTTCATATTACTTAGAGAGGTCATTTCATATGCAGAAAAACGCTTAGGCTTGCAATACCTTTGGGGACATTGGGGGGCGGGTGGAGAGGGAACAGGGGCATTTGGTGAGTTGTACGTACCTCTGAAAAAATCCTGGCTACGCCCCTTCACGTGGTCAAAGAGGAGAGGAGTGGGTGCTGGAGCCAAGAATTTAGCCTGCGAATACACCCGTCTCTCCTTGCTCATCGCCACTAGGGAAGTTCCAGTCCCAGTCCCAGTTCCAGTTCCAGTTCCAGTTTTCCATCATTTAAAGGTATTCTTTTACCTTATTCCGAAATGGGAGTAATTTCCAGTTGAAAGCTACTTTCATTTTAACTGTGAAATGTGTGTTTTGTGTCATAAATAATAGCTAGTATACTAGACAATTACTAAAGCAAGCAAAACCAAGAAGAAAAGCTTCATTTAGGCTCTTTTGCGGTGCATATGACATTAAAAACGTATGAACAGTTCACGTGTTTGCTTTTCCTTGTGCCATGCCATTGAAGTCTTCAACTGTTTGGTTTTGTCGGCTTTAAAGCGATGTTATTCGCCATACGTTTGCCAGTCAAATCCTTTGGCTGATTTTCCACCTTGTTCCTTTTTCGGTAAAAACGCTTCCTTAAAAATTCACGAAAGTCTTTCATCTGAGCGAAGTAAATTATGAAGTTTAACAAAGGGTTTAGAAATGCTATACTGCCAGTGCCATAACGTATCATATAGTCAGTTGAGAAATCACGTTGTGGTTTAGCAATCTGTGTATAAGCTGCATTGAGTACAAAGAGAGAGAAGGGAAAAATAAAGGCGAATGTCAGGGCTATAAGAAGAGATATTCCTTTGATTCTTGTGGCTCTCAAATGAGCCTTGAACGCATTGTTCATATTACAAGAAAGTTGTCTTTTACGCTTCACCCATACAGTTCTTATTAAAGATACATTGACGTATATGATGAATACAGTGGGAAATACGAATTGTATTGGGAAGAGAATAAGTGTTATTTTGAACGGATAGAAAAACTCAACATATCGGCATATGACAGTGTAATGAGTGTCGTTAAGGTCGACTCGTATTCCATCGTACGTGGCTGAGGGAAACAGCATCACAAGAATTCCTAATAACCATGCTGCTATAATCATTTTCCGCACTGTCGAGACACGAAATGTTCGTGGGATAGGGCGAGTTGACAAATACTTCTCGAGACTTATCACTACTAGAATGTTCATCGTGATGACAGGAAAGACGAAGTTTAGGTATCGAACTATCTTACAAACCCACCCACTTTGGAACACATCTAACGACATCTGCAAACCGACAAGAGGCAAGGATACCGCACAAGAAAGCAGGTCTGACAGACAAAGACTTCTTACATACATGGTTAGATTCTTCGCAAAGGAGTGTGCCTTTAGTGCATTTGTTTTGGGCTTTTTCCCCAAAAAGTAAAAGATGAGACAGCAACCTACAAATCCAGTTCCGCCAAGAAAAGCCAGGAGGATGCAGAGGATGTGTTTTGCTGCGTATGGAGCAGGCGTAAAGACGTAGATGGTGGGACCAGTTGTTTCTGTATCATTGTTAAAAGATGATTTATTCCAAGTCGCAGTGGAAAGAAGGCACGATGTTTCGTTATACATGTCAACCTGTTAAAAGAAAGCATTTTCATTAAATTATTTTCAATTTGAAATTTCATCTGTTCTAAGCGAGCACAGTGAGGTCAGTTTATTTTGACCGTTTATTTTTTAGGTAACTGTACTTGTGCTATACCCAATTTCTAAACCTTTTAACTTTTTTTTTGACAGAAAACAACATCACACTGAGAAAGGTGCTTGGCCCTTCTTTTACAATCATGGAGCTCTCAACACTTATTTAAGGGTGTAGCTAGACTGAAGATAAAATTGAATGGGGTTTTGTACAGTTGACGCTTCCATAGCAACACAGCAACGTCACTTCTCCTGATTTTATTCGTCAGTTTTTCAGGCATGTAGACCTTCGTTTTACATTCCGTTATCATGAGTTGCGCCGTGGATTTAAGATCATTTTTTAAGGATGATTTTTCAGAAAATCTGCTGTTGCAGCGTTTGAATGTTAGAAAGAAACGACTTAAACATTTTTTTTCGAATTAAACCATACACATGATACAGGAGAAATATTCTTTAGTCTCGAAATGTTTCTTCAGATTTCAAGTATCGCCGTTTATTAAAAGTGAAAGAAATCACTACATCCCGGTTTCAGTTTTATAAGCGTTAGTAAAAACAAATGTCTAAATAATCTAAAAAGTAGACCTATATAGAAACACAAAAAGGCTAACATATGGATTTGCATTCTTTCAAGAAACAGCTGCTTGTTGGTTACGAGTCAGTTTTTAAACAGAGAGAATTAAGAAATCTGCTACTTCAAATTATCTAGAAAGAACTCGAATAGAAAAAGAAAACGTTTTGCAAACGGATTTGAGTTTATGAAGGAACACTTGTACATAAAGAAAAAACAACTTTTCTGTCAGTTTTTCTGCAAAGCATTTTTAAATTCAATTTAACAGTTGAATCTAAAGGAGGGAATTTGGATGAAAAAACTATTTTCCTTTTTTAAAGAATCACCTGCCTCCTAACTTAGAAAAACGAAAGTGCTTTTGTTAGTTTTTCTACCAGTTAAAGAATTACAAAACCAGCCAATTAAAATTAGATACGAATAACTCGGATTTAGAAATGGCTACCTTTAAGGCCTGCATAGGACGTGATGGAGTATTACACGATATAGAAGTTCAAATAATAGCATGGCCAATTGATCTTTTTCAAAATTATTTTTGAGAAAAAATAAAAAAAACACTCTGTAAATTTTGGTATCTTACAGGGCACTAGCCAAAAAGGAAACGTTCCCGTCGACTAAACGTGTAAAAGGCAAATTTGGTGTCTTTCATTACAGCTCGATCAATAATTATCTCAACTATGGTTAACTTTGTGCTGCCACAGTTTATTTTTAATGTAATTATTACAGTCAATTTTTTTACCCTCAAAGCCGTGTGTTTCGTTCCCTCTAAATATAGCCATTTTTATTCCAGAAGGATATGTTTCTGTTCCAATTCGATTCGCAATATGGCAGACGGAGGACCACTTTCTGGATATTCGACCACTAATCATTATTCAATTTAAAAAAAGTAATTGTAAAAGTCAAATTAAAAATAAGTAGAACCATTCATCAAAGCAAAGACTCACATGAGCCATTTTCCTAACTAGGTACAGTATCTTTTCGTTATTATGTAACTCAAAGCAACGTTGCGTAATAACGAAAAGATGCTGAATTTTGCCCAGTCGGGTAGCTGATGGAGGTCCAAGACAGCTGCTATACTAAGAAAAAGAATTAAACGAAGTCTACATCAAATTTCTCAGGTCTCGCTTTTTAATAGATACAGACGTGTATATTTATACCGTATATTATTTTCAATTTATTTTTTTATTATTTTACGTTTTACTGCACCAATATGCACCCAACTTTGCTTTTAAATGAGATAAAATATTCCGGGCTCAAGCAGTAAAAACGATTTTTTTACCTTTCGAATATCCCAAACGGCTATAATTTGAAATGCTTTACTGAATAGTAAAGACCATCTTCTTAAAGATAGGTCTGGAGTACAATTCTCGGTACAAAAATTTGGCAACGATAACAAACAGAGATGAAATACCCAATCCAATTTTGATGGCCCCAGTACAGTGCTAGAGTAAATTCCGTCAAGCAGCGCTGTCCTTAAAACAGATAGAGAAAAACGACATGCAGAAGGATGGTCTAGCGGTTATTAATAAATGCTTCAATAAATGGAGACTTACTTAAAAGTACAAAATAAACAGCCGGCAAGTACAAAATAAACAGCACTGCAAAATGAAAATCATCGAAGGACAGCTATAGCTAAGTAAATTTTGTTATTTCGTCCAGAAAATAAAAGTGCGCTATCGCAAAGTTTATGAAAGACCGTTTCTTACTACTTACGTCTTTGAAGTGCGTCCAACAAGAAAACCAGTGATATAGGAGTTACTTTGACAGGAGTAACAATGAATTGAACAGTCCCTAGAAGTGCTTAGCTTTATATTCTATGCATCTAGCTTGCAGTGGAAGACGGGATTTTTTTTTTTTTTTTCAAAATGAAAACGTGCTTAGAATATTACCCACATCAAATGATGTTCTACACTCAAGACTGAAAAGACACTAAACAGTTTTGAAACTAAAAACAATTAGATAGCTAACCCGGTAACAATTCTTCAAACAAAGAATATAACAGAGTTCAGGAAATTGTCGGATCAGTAGGTTACCCTACAATCCCTGAAAGACTCTCTTTAGGTATTGAAGCCTTTATAGAGATCAAGTGTCCGATTTGCGTCAAACGGAGGAAACGTGACGTACATGTGCCGTTTTCAACGCCTGGATGGATATTTTTACCTTATGAAAAAACTGATCAGAAATGGTTTTTTATCTAATGTTGTCGGCTACATCAGTGACCACATGTTCCTATAAACCTGTCATTCACCATTTGCCGTAGAATTGATGCCTTGTCTCTCTACCAAAAAAACTTACAAGAACTAAAAAATTCATAATGTATTAAACATCACTGATCCTTTTTAGCTTTGGAAAGTGCAAGGCTTTAAAGGCTCTGCAGAGTATTCTTTTTACCTGTAAAACTGTCTTTAGCGGTCCTTCTTTGAAGAACACGATGAAAACTTAACCAAAGCATACGGTGGACTGCTTGTTGTTAAAATATAAATTTATCCCGTTACTACTCAACAGTAATAAGAACAGACAATCTAGATTTGATACCTTGTAACAAAAAAAAGAGGGTGTGCACACAGCTGAAACAAATTTAAAAAGTAAGCAAGAAGGTGAACGCATTTGCATTCGTATTTATTGATGTGATGCGCAAGCTTGGTTTAGTCGATTTCTCCGTTTAATTTTTATTGAATTTCATTCTCAGACTAGGTTTCCTCTTTTTTAAAATCATCCATACGAAACATGACGTATTTGTGTAAGCTTATCATTACGACATGAAAATAGCACAATAAAATAAAATTATTTTTAAATTAGTATCATTAATGCCACAGGGATTATATATTTATGTCACTGTTAACTGAAAATTAGGCACCCAAATCGTATATAGCATGATGTTTTTTTAGATTCCTTTAAGCGACTTAATAATCAGTTTCACTGTTACATTTTTTCTTCGATGTAACATGTGGCTTTTGGTTCACAAAAACGGACAGCTGTCACTCCATGCACTGATTTCATTCGCTTTTATTTCAGTCTATTTCCAGTGCAAACAGTTCAGCTTGCTTTTCATAAAACTGAAACGTCTGCCAATACAGTTTTATGACCCAAGAAAAACTGGCGCCTACAGAAAGCCAGCAACTGTAAAGTTTACAGTGGAAATTACGACAATAAGCAGCACAAATATTTTATAAAATTTTATAAATCGAGGACTAAAAAGCTCGAGTTTGATAACCTAGAAGAGGAAAATTTCCAAAACGCATTTTTGTCCACTTTGGCGCCCGGAATTGGAATTTTAAACCGTGAACATGGTTTTTGAGGAGAAGAGTAAAAACCTGAGTACCAGCGAAGAGAGGCGCTCGTCCTCTCATGTGTACATACACCAAGTTTCTTCCGTTTGCCTTTGACATATTGAAATAATTGTTGCTGAAGCCACGGTTGTGTCGGTTTCCGTTGTGGAAACTGTTTAATGTCTTTTTAATCCTGACCAACGTCATTTGGGTATCAAACCAACATTAATACGCTTCCATTTTGAATACAGAAGTAAATCGTGGGCGAGGGTGTTTCCCACTTGTCAATGCACGTTTGAAGTATGGAATAAACAAACAGACCTGACTTCAAGGACCTGCTTGCTGTTCATTGGGACGCGGTTCAAGAGGGTCTTAATGGGAGGGTAGCTTTGACGATTGAAGGCTAAATTTTTGAGCTTTGGTGAAAAAAATTTAGTCCAAGAGTTAAAGTAAGTATTAACTTCTGAATAAATTAATATCAACTATTGTGTTTTGGAGATTGCCTAAATATGTTGAGATATATGAAAGTTGTAAGGTCTTGTAATGTTCAGAGAGAGTGTTTTTGAATGAGAACATGATGACCCGTGGCTTCTCCAATAATCAAGAGATTCTTAGGAAGCGAAAAGTCCGTAAAGATCAGCTGAAATAGTAAGATTTGAAATACCTTGAAACGTTTGGACGGTAATCGATGTTAAATTGCCATCTTCATTTGCCTCTTTCTCGGCAAGTTCAAGAGATAAAGTGATGTCTGCCGAGTTGTTTTCCTGCTGTTTATGTAATGTTTTTAGGCATGCAATGTCTGTTTTCTATTGCTCTGTGGATTTAAGATTAACCTCAAACGCCATCTTAGACAATAATACCTGTACTCACGGATAACTTAATGAATTGTCCAGTCTCTTTTAAGTTTTTAATGTCTAGTTGTTTTTGTTTGAGTCAGGGCTCCATTTAAACTAGCACTGCTAAACTGGATGCCCCTTGTTAAATATTGATTTAAATAAAAAAAAAATAACAAATAGCTCACCTATTTCTTCTTTGCAAAACGTGTGAAATGCCCCGCCATTTTCTACCTCGTCCCAGGGCTTCTCGGTTGCTGTCCATTTTCCTGGCATTTATGCTGTATTATTGTCGTCATCTTCCACATATCGCAAACGTCTTCCAAATTTGGTCAACGCTAGCTGGTTATGAAGGAATTAGCCGCGGGATTTGAGCCAATCAGAAAATGAGAAATATTTTGACTGTATAATAACAGTTCAGCCCACTCTCTTCATCGCTGAGACTACAGCTCACTTGGTCATTTGCGGATCAGTTTTGTTATGTTCGTTATCAACGGTGAAAATTGAAAAAAAAAAAAAAAAGCACTGGAAAGATCGCATTATCTTCCGTTTTTCATAACCCCAGTTCACAATTGAATAACTTGATATATTTACATTCTTTCATATTTTAGATGCTATTGTTTTTCATAGGTGTTGCAGTATCTTATAGATTTTGATGCCACTCACAGTATCTCACTGCCCGCCGTGCTCAGAATTTCACCTTCCGTGGGACGAACCGGTCTCTTATTGCGTCTTTTTCGTTCTAAAACGCCACTATCGATCGTAGTACTAATTCTTTTGCATCAGTTTGGAAGGTATAGTTGGGACTCAAACTTCTTAATTGCAACCCTGTCTCAGCATTTCGAGTTTCAGTCACGCCAAGTGTTCTTATCTTGGTGATGACATCCTCGCCGGCCTCTTGAAAAGTCTTCCTGGTGCACTGGCTACTCTTTTTTGCGGAGAACTCCCATTAAATTGCAGAGGGATACATCAACGCCCTAACCCTAACCCTACATCGACCCCACACTCATTTTTCATTTCAACTCAACTTCGTAAATAATAAAGGTATATACCACCACCACCACATTTCTTTTGTTTTCCCTCCACTGCTACTACCACCACCACCATTATTACCACCACATTACTTTTTTCCCCTCCACCACCGTCACTATATTGCCATTGTTTTCCCTCCACCACCACCACTATAATGCCATTCTTTGCCCTCCACCACCACTACTATATTGACATTGGTCTCCCTCCACCACCACCACTATATTGCCATTGTTTTCCCTCCACCACCACTTCTTTCATCAGTGTTACATTTCCATTGTTTTCTCACCACCACCACCGTCACTTTTCTATTGTTTTTCTGCCAAACTAACCAAAATAACCAAAATCAGGTAAAAGATGAAGGAAAGAACTCACGGGCCATCTAAATAACCTGTCTGACAGAAAAACAATAGAAATGTGCATTGCGGTGGCGGTGGCGGTGGCGGTGGTGGTGGTGAGAAAACAATGGAAATTTGTTGGTGGTGGTGGAGTTAGTGGAGGAAAAACAAAAGAAATGTGGTTGTCTTTCTGGTGGTGGTGGTGGTGGGGAGAAAACAACACAAACTTGGCGGAGTGGTGGTGGCAGTGGCGGGAAACAAAAATAAAAATGTGGCAGTGGAAGAGGTATATAGCTTCACTATTCACGGAAATGTGTTAAAATAAAAGGAGAGTGTGGCGTCGATGTCGGGTCAATGTTGGGTCGAAGTGGAGTCAATGTAGGGTCGATGTGCGTTCGATGTGGGCTCGATGTGTTGTCGATGTAATGTCGGTAATGTGTAAGGTGGGGGAGGAGGGAAAACAATAAAATGTGGTGGTCTATTCACTATCCTTGTCTGGATAGTGAATAGACCACCCGTGGCGGATCCAGAGGGGAGCAGGGGGGGGAAGGTCTGGATCCACCACTGAGACCCTTCCACGGATTTCAACTTTTGACTGGGACCAGTTAGTGAAAAATCCGTCAAACCAGCTTAAAAAACGTATTACAATAAGTTAAGATTCCAAGTTTGAACGTTAAAAAGGTTAAAGGCATGTTTATAGTGGAAGGTGCACTTAGCTTGTCCAGCTAATTTACAGGCACTCCACTCAAATATTTAGAAACAAATAAATCAAATACAACATAACAGGATTTAAAAACCCCAACTGGCAGAAGGCAACCAGTTGACTATTTACAAGCGTGGCTGAGAATTTGAACTCGGGACGACCGAGCACAAATCCAGCAAGTGGCCAGAGGGGGACTCGAACCCGGGACCGCCGGATTGCGAGTCCGACGCGCTGACCACTTGGCCAGGCTGCCTCGTGACTTGTTGAAAATTAGTATAGGTAATAGCATGATTTGTAGTGTGATATTTGGCATAAATACCACGAGTGATATTTCGAAATTGTTATATTTGAGACGAAATATCACGAGTGGTATTTACGCCAAATATCAGGTACAAATCATGCTATTATTTGTTTATACTACTACCCGCAAAAGGTTTGTAATTTTTACATGTAGGTATTTCAAATTAAGCTGAAATACCACTGCTCTAAGCCAATCCAATTGTAGAAATTTCTCATGTAGTAGTATAAATGAAGATATAGCCTCGCCGCCACCCATCACAAAGTTACCGAAAACAAGTTGTTGAAAACAACCGTGGAAGGAGCTATTTGGATTTCAGTTACGCCAATCAGCATCGAGAGCATGCAGCAGTTCTTACCTACAGCAGGGGCACCCAACGAGGATATAGTTCAAAACCACTTAACATATCATTGTTGAACGTATTTTAGTATTTAAACGGTAGATATAGGCATACTTTTATCCCCTGAAAACTTTTCATCTGTTCGGATTTCCTAGCTGAAAGTCTAGTTATCCGAAAATTATAGGGATCAAAAGTTACCTTTTCGAAAATTTCAGCCAGGAAAATGCTCCCGAAAATTCTAGGTGGCCTTTTTTAGGGTAAAAATCCGTTAAAAATGGGTGATTATACCATTTTGTAGATGTTCGAAAATCCTAGGAGAGGCAGGCAAGCAAGAAATTTTACAACAAATGTTCCGAAAATTCTAGATCTCAAATCGTCTTCCGAAAAGATATTTTCCGAAAATTGCCGTTGGGTGCCCCTGCTACAGCTCCGAAGTAGTAGTGGGCGGTCACATACATCTGTAAATGTTTATAACTTTGGCAATTTATTCAGTATTTCTTTGTCAATAAAGAAATCGAATATGTATAACCTTATCACAGCCAGTCATTTTTTTTTCAGCAGGCTCGTGGCCTGCTTGCATCCAGGTTGTAGGCATAACTGTAAGCAAACAAGTTCACAGTCGCAGTTAGTGTTACGATTTGATTCGCCTATCAGTGGATAAAAACAGCTTTACATGCTTGCTTTCTCGTTTTCAGTTTCAGTTGTGTTTGCGCACCCGTTTTTTACTTCTTTTTGGTCTGAGCTTTAAAAGTTTAGACGTTATGATCTTATTACATTTGAATAACAACGGGAAGAATAGATATATTAGCCGCAAGCGGGCCAATGACTGTTTTTCGGTGTATGTTTTTTAAAGCTAAATACCAGAGTGAAAGAACGACTGAAGAAAGTTTCACAGATGAAATGAATAAATTACACTGCTGTGAAGCCTTGCTAAATACAACCAGTAGTAAAAGTTATTTTTTCTTGCAATTTCTAATCTATTCTGCATTTTTTTTACCTATTTAATCTATTCCCGCAATCATTTTTTTTTTCTACTGGAAGTTTACGACAAACGGTGAATGGCAGAGTTGACTATACGATTACTAATGTATCGAACAACAGCAAATCCAAAGTAGTTCTCAGTTTCTCAGATTTCTCATTGAGTAAAAACCTCGCTTTGAAACCGATCGGCCCTAATACGCATGTCAGGTTTCTGTTTGATGATGCTTAATCTCGTTATTGTCAAGACCGCAGTACCCAAAGAGAGTCTTTCAAAGATTTTAGGATCATGTGATCCACCTTTTTTTAAAAAAAATCTCAGTTATGCAAGGTGTTTCTTTATATTTTGCCACATTGTCACTGGGTTCACTGTTGTTTTGTGACGTAGAAACTGTTTAGTATCTTTTCAATCTTAAAAAACGTCATTTGGTGATGGAACCATCTTCATACCCTATGAATTGGAATACTTAAAAAAAACGGTGGGCGCGAGTACTTCCCATCTGCCACCGCAAGTTAAATGTGCAGAATAAAGCTGAGAATGTCAAGGGATTGTTCACTGTCCATTTTCTGCTGCACCTGTCAAAGTAACTGGTCAATTACCCAAGTTAGCCCACTGGTGAGGTTCCACTTCCAAGAAAAACGTAAGTAATCAATGGTTCATAAAACGCGATTCTCTGCAGAAAATTAGAATATCTGACCAATAAAAGCTATGTTGCGGCGAATTTTGTTTTCTTACTTTTAATACACGCTTTTTACTTATACGTAAGACAAGATCTATTTTTTCAATGCATTTATTCGCTTAACCACAAAATGCAATTGACTATTATCGCTGGACAAAATTGATATATTAAATGCCTTTGAAAAAATGAGCGATAAATTTGTGTTGAAATGCTGTTTAGTTTGTAGGAGCTTACTTTGAATCGAGTCATTTGAGATATTCAAAGAGATGGAAAAACTGTGCTAACGACAGGGACTAGGAAAGATACAGCCCATTTAAACATCGATCATGGTTTTTTTTCATACTACTACTAAAAAAGTGATAACAGTTTCAACAAAGAATTGTGCTTTCTGGTGGTTTATGATTAAAGGGAAAATTTGAGTTTACGAAACGATTTTGAAACAGGAAAATTTCTCATGTATAATTTGGCAGATTTCTTTGGCTTCATCGCACGACTTGAGTTGTCAAACTCGATCGGAATGGCAATGCGATCGTCGCTTTAATCTCTAAAGTCATCGTTTCATCAATGGCGATCGTCGCGACTTCGATTTACCCATAGAGCAATGTTGTTCACTGAAAGACTTAAGTTTTTTGCAAGCTGCGTTGAACAGCGGAAAAGAACCCAGCTTCATAACTATTCCAGTTCAACAACGTTCAACATTCCACATGATGTGATACACTTTTCAAGGTTTATTAAAAAAGACTAATTAAAAAACATTTTGTTTATTCAATGTCGTCTTATTGATACCAAATAGTGCATGCAGTAAAAAGATCCGCCGCAATAATAATAAAATAATAATAATAATAAACTTTATTCAAGTTTCAGATACTTTAGCTATATAAGCCAAATGGGGAGAGTTTGCAGCCAGATAAATTGAAATACGGAAACAAGAGAGTACAGTTTGTTAAACAGGATCTTACCCAACGATCCACGAAGAAACTAAAACTGTCAGATGCCGCAAAAAATATTAACATACGGTATCAATAGTGGAAATTGAATAAAGGTATTAAACATTCATATTCATGTAAAGCGAAGAAGTCGTTTTGAATTTTGTATGTTGTCACCGACAAAAGAAAGGATAGTTCTTCCCTGGATTAACAACAAATGAAAATTCTAATCTTTTCGTAGTCATGCTCGGTCTGACAACAGCAAACATAACACCTTTTAAGCCTGAATTAGCCACACTGATTTTTACAGAAAACATGAAAGGCCAATTGAATTCGAGCCGATAGAAATGTATTTTAATACTTCATTTATAAAACAAAAACAGGGAAACTCGTAGAACGAAGACGCCGTACAATTTTCAGTTAGCATTCAAACTGTTTTATAATTTTAGAGCGTGTGAAACATACCGCTTTGGGGATGTAATTTTAAAATTGATGTTGTACCTATATTGAAACCAAACAACGCCATCAAAAAGCGTATCATGTTTTAGATAATTTATCTATCGGTAAGAGTGGAGAATCAACCATTACCCCGGCTGTTTCATGTCGGAAAATTTATAGACTGCGAAAGACAAACGGAATAGACTTATTTCAATCACAAAGAAATGATAAAAAATGGCAATTCTGTTTTAATATCTTGCGCTTATGAGCTCTAATGCATTGCACCTGATCATATCCCATGTCACAAGAGTTTTACAAGGACTTTTTTATTTTTATTCCGTCCGGGTTCTTTCGAATCAAATTTCAACTCGCAAATTTAATTTTTGTCTGTGTGTGTGCAAAACTTGACGGAGAAGTGACCGTGAGAATAGAATGAGGATCTAGGACTTTACATACATACTTTTTAATGCTATCAATGCATACATACCACTATTCTAAAATTTCGTTTATTTCTACATTTATTTCACATACGTATCTTTTTTTGGTAATAATTAATGTATATTTTACTTACCCTATTTTATAAGTTATTAAGTTTTCTTTTTTTTTTATCGGGCATTTGATTATAGTTACACAATTAGATAGTTGCGCGTTACAAATTATTATTATTATTATTATTATTATTATATTTTTTTTTTCTTACATGTAAGCAAAGCATGCAGCTGTTGCCGGTTTAAAAACGCAAATCCGTGTTTATTAGTGTTTATAAAACTGAAATCGGATGAAGAATTTTTTTTTCATACAGTCGACTCCCGATAACTCGAACGCTCGCTAACTCGAACCTCGCGCTAACTCGAACCAAAATCGATTTCCCCTGGATTTCCCTCATACATTCACGGTAATTTTACCCTCGGTAACTCGAACTCCCGCTAACTCGAACCAATTTGACGTCGAGGTTGTTTCCTATCTTCCAACTCGAGCACGTTGAATGTATAAAGTGAAGCTAAACATTTCAAGGGAGTGTTCACTGTTCAGTTTCTGTTGCATCTGTCAAAGCAAAAAGGAAATGAATAACACTGGTGAGATCCACTTCATTTATCTTCATAAAACGTAAGTCAAAGATGGTTCATAAAAACGCGATTACACTCTTTTTTTTTTAAAGAATATCGAGTCTAAAATTGGCGAAATTTTATGAACATTTTAAGAATAAACCCCAGGCTGAGAACTGGAAAACGATATAATTTTTTGTATTGAAAATCTATAAATACGATCGCAATTAAATGTTTTTAACTTATCCCTTTCTCTAAACGGCAACAATAGCCGACAAAATTAAACCAAAAAACCTGCATTAACTATAATGGGAGACCCAAATGCATTCTAAAACGGATATAGCCTGAGAAAACAGCCAACATTTGGCGACGCTACCATTGGTTGCCCCGCCAAATGACCTCTGAGAAACGTGAGTGGAAATTCCGTACTGATGACGCGTCACTACCCAGATCTGGGTAATGCTTCTGATTGGTTGAAATAAACTTCCCACATGGCACGACCAATCAGAAGCACTAACCAAATTTGGGTGGTGACGAGTCATCAGTATGGAATTTCTCCGCTCGTTTCTCAGACGTCATTTGGCGGGGAAACCAGAGGTACCGTCGCCAAATGTTGGCTGTTTTCTCCGGACAAAACGGAAATGTCATAAAATATAATTCAAGAAAAATACAAGAATATTTTCAGCCTAGAATGAGCCTGGGCCGGAAAAACAACATTCTTATGAAAAAAAGAGAGAGTACATGTTTTATCATACTCTGGACAATATCATAACATTTGCCAGAAAATAGCCACCCTGTGACGATTATATTAGGAATAATTTTTCCTTCTTAGTATTTTGAACTACACAGTTTTCGAGAAGGACAAGGTTTATTTATTGACGCACGTATTTATAACCGCTTAACCTCAAAATGGTTTGCGTATTTTAAACGTCTGGACAAAATTATAACTTTGCCTTGTTGTGTTATCTGGTGACAAATTCGTGTAGAAATGCCGTTTATTTTGTACATAAGATGCTTAAATTATCGAGGAGGCTTATGAGTAGCCGTTTGGAATATTCAAGGAAAAGGAACGATGATTTTTTTTCCCAGTTCCTCCTACTAAATTTTAATTTCTAGGGTTCGTAAAAAAGACTGATAGAAGTACTTTTCTCTTACTGTGAGAAAATGAATAATATTCTTTACTACTGAAAAAACGGGAATCCACTGGCCACTAAATTCAGCCCCAAATCCTAAACTTCCTTTGGCAGAAAAACAAAGAGAGAAGTACGTTGTTCTTCTTTGTGTTAGTATACTGTTTTATAGCTATAATTCATTCAGAGGAAGCTCACGTAAGTGGACACTCTCCGAACGCGAAAAAGGTGTCTGTAATCGATTGGAGCCGGTCGCTTACGAGAATGGTTCTCATATGCGGCCACTAGAGTATCTCGAGGGTCCTATATAGAAGTGTAAAGATCTGGAAATGACCTGAGACCTTGCTTAGCTAAAATAAATACTGGGAATGCAAACAAAGAAAAAGAAAGCTAAAAGAAAGAAAAGAAAAGTAACAAAAAAATTCAGAAAAACAAGGGAAAAATACTGTTTGTTAGTGTTTGGCTAAACTGTTGTTCTGACGACGTTGTAATTCAGGCACAAGCATAAAATTCATGCCGAGTGGTGTTTTGACTGGACGTCCATGGAACGTGTATGTGAAAAAAGCAAACTGTGGTAAGAAGGACTTTTAGTAATGAGCCATTTTAATTAAATTGCGTTAATTAGTGACACAGCAACTTAAATAGGGTAATTTTAGTGCAGTGGAAAATATAAGGTGTTGTATATTATATTCTGTTACTGTTTTTATATAAGGTTCCGTGCCCAGCTGCTAAGATTGATCCGGCATATGTTAGGGACCCTATTTTAATCTTAAAAGATGCGAGGAGGGCGATTATTCAAACTCTCTTAGTTTGTGAAATGTATGCGAACTCTCCCGGAGTTGAATTCCTAATTCATTACCGGAGTTTGTTTTTTCATCTGCATATTCCATGGCGTGGACGTCCGGTAAAAATACCACTCGGCATGAATTTTTCCCTTGTATGTCGTGTTCAAAGTGGAAATGTGTTATCACTGAAAGACATACAGGATCGAGCTTACTGTTGTAATAATTAGAGTTATTTCAACCCGGAAACTCAAATTTTTTAAAAGCGAGAACGACCTCACAGCGCTCACTTATTCGGAACAGATTTCAACTTTGTTATTGGCGATGATTCACTTTGATGTTTTCTCTCTGATAGGTTGACGTGAAGACATGAATAACGAACCATCATGGCTTCTTACCACTGTGACTTGGAATAAATCATCTACTTTTAACAATGATACACGAACAACTGACTCCGCTGCCATCTACGTCTTTACGCCTGCTCCGTACGCGGCAAAACAAGTCCTTGCCTTCTTCCTGGTTTTTTTTGGCGGAATTGGATTTGTAGGTTCCTGTCTCATTTTTTACTTTTTGTGGAAAAAGCCAAGAAAAAATCCAGTACAGGCATACCCTTTTGCACAGAATCTAACCATGTATGTAAGAAGTCTCTGTCTGTCAGACCTGCTTTCTTGTGCGGTATCCTTGCCTCTTGTCTGTTTGCAGATGTCGTTGGATGTGTTCCAAAGCGGCTTGGCTTGTAAGCTAGTTCGATACCTAAACTTCGTCTTTCCTGTCATCACGATCAACAATCTAGTAGTGATAAGTCTCGAGAAGTATTTGTCAACTCGATCCATGCCACAAACATTCCGCGTCTCGACAGTGCGGAAAATGATTATCTCTGCGTGGTTACTGGGAATTCTTGTGATGCTGTTTCCCGCAGCCACGTACGACGGAATGAGGGTCGACCTTAACGAAACCCATTACACTGTCATATACCGAAATGATGAGCTTTTCTATCCTTTCAAACTGACATTTCTTCTTTTCCCAATACAATTTGTACTTCCCATTTTGTTTATAATCTACGTTAATGTATCCTTAATCAGAACTGTATGCCAGCGTAAAAGGCAAATCTGCTATAGAATGAACAATGTTTTCAAGGCTCATTTAAGAGCCACAAGAATCAAAGGAATATCTCTTCTTATAGCCCTGACATTCGCCTATATTTTTCCTTTCTCTCTCTTTGTAGTCAATGTAGCTTATACACAGATGGCTAAACCACAACGTGATTTCTCAACTGACTATATGGTACGTTATGGCAGTGGCAGTATAGCATTTCTAAACCCTTTGTTAAACTTCATAATTTACTTCGCTCAGATGAAGGACTTCAGTGAATTTTTAAAGAGGCGTTTTTCCCGACACAACGAGAACGGACATCGGCCAAAGCATGGCGAACACATGGAGAATAACATCGCTTTAAAGCCGAGATTAGACACTCCAAAACGGTAAAATGACACCAAGTGATTAAAAATGTTTTATCTCCTTCACCATTCAATGGGGAGCTCAAGCAACGACAACGGCGACGACTACGAAAATGTCACTAAATGGCGCTGGTTCTCTCTCCTCAGCAGAGGCCTCTTTGTGTTGTGGGGAGGCTGGGGATAAAGAAAAAGAAAGCGCGCGGGGCACGATGGGAAGGGGAAACAGAGAAGAGAGGCTCCCGCCTTTTTCCTCTTCCCATCGTTCGCCGCGCGCTTTCTATTTTTCGATTATTGCTATTTTTATAGGGATACCCCAGACTCGTACCCAGTCGCTATTTATGTGTTTTTGGGGTGAGAGAAAATTGGAGTTTAGGTTGAGGCGCGCGAGGTCTCGTACCTTCCCATGAGACCTCGCGCTCCTCAACCTTACCCCCAATCTTCTCTCACCCCCAAAAACACATAAATAGCGACTGGGTACACGTCTTGGGACTGACCCAGCGGGAGCCATTACGCACGAGAGAGGCGCTGGTTTAAACTTAATCGCGCTTCAATTCGTTAAATGTTGGAAAATTTTGCAGGAGTTGAATTCTAAAAGACTGTATCAAAGTTCAGGAAAAGAAAAACAAAGTTGTCTTGTGTTCCCGCTCACGTCCTCTACGAAACATGAAAATAGGCACTTTCACGTAGCAGTCGTGCAGTGAAGAAGTAATCTAAACCTATTGCTTTTTTTGCAGTTCTCGTTCCCGTCGTTGTTGCTTAAGCTCTCTATATATTTTACATGACAGTTACGGTAATAGGAATCGACTATAAATACGTACTGGATAATTCATGTAATTCAAAATGGCGGCGTAAGGAACGGCAACAGTTAGTTCGTTTTAAGTTAAGGCAGATGCTAAATAAAGATTTCTTTATTCAGCTTAGCTTAAGGCAGCCTGGTTGATCCATTAATTTTTATTTATGACAAACATGTAGAATACCTCCTCGCTGTTGAAATGAGACGGGTAGTTCTATGAAGCAGCAAATTCTTTGAATTCCTTCTATTTGCCGATAAGAAGATTTTTGTGCAGGTTTTAAAATGGAAAATTGAGAAGTGAATAACACCAAGAGAGAATGATCTACAACGTCAGCCCTACGTCATCTTGGAAATGTTAAAGACCCTTTGTCATTTCCCATGATGCATTGTGGGCATTTAGAATTTCGTAGTCCAAGGAATTCAATGTCGACTACCAGACTAGCCTCGAGTGATGAACAGCGCGGCAAATGATCCCCGTCCTCCCTGACGGTGGCTCGTCAGTTCCATTTAAAGGCCCCCACAAAGCGGGTTCATTGGGCTGCCGACTGCTCGATGCAAGTGGTTTAGTATTTTAGGAAGTATAACGCACCCGCCCTTTCCCACAATCTCCCCCCCCCCACAACTCACCAAAAACAGAGAAAAAGATATACCATTACAGTATAAGGTGACTACCGGAAATTCCAAAAAATGTCAAATGTGACGGGGGTCCATTTTGGCATTTAAAATATTGTTAGATAACAGTTATTTTCTGTTCCTTATAGCTCGCAAAGCAAATTAATTTCAATTTTATTTCTGTCCGATTTTGCATTTAAAGCCCTTTTAACTATCCATGACAAGTGACCATGTTTCTATTTGACAAGGCGATCTACAAATAGCATATTCCTTTCTTGTACGGCCAGACTTTTCACACGCAGAAGGAGTTGAAGAATTTCCCGTGGGGACCATGGGAGGGCATTGTTACTGCGGCTCCCTCCCGCACAGACTAATAACATCATCGAGTACTGTATTGAGATATAGGGCCAATTAACTCCACGCAATAATTTTGTGTTGGTTCCAAATCTACTTTCTAATCTGTTCGCCAGACGACCTGAAATGACCCGTCCTCTCCCCGCACAAATCGGCCCCATTGAAGGGAGAGTGGCACACCCAACGCCTTCTAGGTTTGTCTTTTTTCGACAGAGAAAGACCATTCCATAACTGGGTGCCACAGGCAGCCCAATAATAAACATTTTCAAACAAAGGATATGAATAAAAAGTTTTTATTCTTATGAAAATCTACTGCAAAAATGCACACTATAGATCTTCAAGCCATAAATAAATACTGTACAACACACAGCTTATCATAATAATAATAATAAGCTTTGTACCTACAAAATATTGCTTCATTTCTTTTCATACGATTAATTTCTCATATATCATTTACCAGTAAAAGCTAAAATCATTTGTTAAAAAGGTCTCAAATTTCCATCGTACAGTTAAATCAGTGATTCCTAGTTTATTATCGTACGGCGGCCAAACGCTCATAAACCTCATTTCCAGTAACCTGAAAGCGAGGTGTCTAGAAGGAGAGCGAGCTCTAGAGCTCGACACTTTGTTTCGCGGATCATTAATAATGACTAATCAGTGATTATCGAGGTAACCAGACATAGAAAACACTCAATTTGGCTTGATCCCAACTAGCCGCCGCAAATTTCCCTTTCGTAAACGATTGCTGCCATTTTAAGGACAATCAAAAAATTTTTGGCCTGTTACTGAGACTAGCTGAGACTGTTTCTATCGGGTTTCTATTTACGAGAAAGAAGATCGCAACCCAGGGTCAAACTCGGACCTTTCGTATCACAATCTCTCTCCATTACCACTACACTGCCACACCGATCCGCCAAAATTTCGAAAAAATTAAGTACATAAACTAGCAAAGTGTCTTTCTTAACTGATAGATCAATAATACGTGACCCTGGTCCTTTTAACGTAAATTCAACTTAATCCAGGAATATATTACATCTAGTATCATGACTAAAGGCTTCGTTACCAATGGTGGCATCGACCGTTAAAAATTGGCAACGACCTTTTACGAAAGAGAAATAGGCTTCGCAGCCAGCTACACAGGCTGCAAAGATATTTATCAAGGAGCACAAAGGGGCCTCTACAGACCGCTTGTTTCTTGACAGAATGGCAGAGGATATAACTGCGAGTAAGAGCCAAGACTAACAATCATCATCTAAAATACTTACAATTTCAGTAAAATATTAAAGATCAATCTTCACATCTAAAATCACATGAAATTTCTGCAAAGATATCTCAAGTTCTCGGGCCACCAGTGACTTTTCAAGGCCGTTTTAGTGCCTTCTGCTTAGTGCCATTCTTACACTAAAAGTATAATCAGTCTCTAAGGTTGCCGGACTATGTGATGTCGAATGGACGGCAAAGATAGATTTTATGATTACATAAAGCTAGCTTTGACTAGAAAATAGATCACTTTGATTCATTTGCACGCTTTATCGTCTTAAAATAAGAAACCAAAATATTCTCGAGAAGCTAGGAAAATCATTCGCTATTATTCCTTCACTTCTTAATTTTCAAGCTAAAACAGATAATTTGTAGCTCCGGAATTAAAAGAAACAACGGTCCTGGAAAACAGCAAGCAAATAAAGCACGAAAGTCTCTTCAAAAGAATAAACGTAAAATCAAAGATAATGAAAAAGTTTTAATTTACGCGCAATTGTTAAGAAGTATTTTCTGCTATTCATATGTACATTTTAAAGCAGGCCACATTTTGCTAAAAACTTTCTAAAAAAACAAAAGAAAACCTAAACGATAGGCTGCCATTTTAAAGAACTCATAGTAATAATAATAATAATCTTAATTTAAACGAACTCGCCTATTACTATCAACTCGTTGCTTTCATTTGGACTTTCTTATATTGCTTGTCTAACCCTGGCCTGTTAATAAGGCTACCGCCTCCTACGCCGGACCTGTATCTTGGTAAAGGAGAATATAACGCCGCGTTGTATTTTACAAAATATATAAAAACCACTTCTTCTCTTTATCAAGCGGCGCCCGCACACTGCCCGTACTGGTCAGCAGCTACACTAAACTGTGCTAACAAATTCTCAGCCTCACTATCCAACTCTTGAAGATCTCGAGTCAGTCTCTCAAGTTCCTGTCGTTGCGTGATGTACTGCTCTAGTAATTCTAAAGGATAAGAAAAGACATTCCGTAAATAACGAACACGTGTAGTGGAACGAGGAGAACACGACACTACGTGGAAGATCACCCCAGCACGGTTGCTTCTATGAAAAATGGTAACCTTACTGGGGGCTTGAAATAATTTTGCGGTTAGGGGGCGGTGAAGTTGTCCAGTAAAACCTATTTCTGCTCGTACACAGCCAGTTTTAGGCCGTAAGAATATCTAAATTACTAATATCTCTGTTAAAGCGCCCGGTTTATGATGCGCTGATGTCACTCTCGAAAACAATGAGGTATTTCTTGGGTCATTCCCGGTATAATATAATTTATTCGTTTTCTTTGTTTTATGGACTATTGTTGGGGTCAGGGTCATCGATAAAGTTGTTTTGTTTTCTTTATTTTACTTCAGCTGTGAGAAACAAATTATATTATACGGTAAATGAGCCTTTTTCTTTTGGGACCCGGACGAAGTAACGCCGGAACAAATTGACGAGCCAAAGTTTTCTTTGCCTGTTTTTGGCATAGGATACCCTGGTCCCAAACGATAACCTGCTCCCCCGGGTGAGAGATAGCGAGCCGCAAAGCGGCCAAAAAAGTCACGAAGGGACCAGGGTAAGCATAAGGTCAAAAGTTAAACTTTTAAATTCATGGGACAAACCTAATGGTAATAAGCGAGAACAATATATATATATATTGTTTGTTCATTAGCATTAGGTTAGAATGACTAGGCAAACGTTGAAGGACAAACAAGAAAAACTGAATCTAGCAGGAGCGCGTGGAACATGAAATTTAGAACCTATTTTACCTTCAGCCTCGACCACATCTTGCAGAAGCTGTTCTGAGTCGTCGTGACTTTGTTGTATTTCTGAAAGACTCGCATTTGCTACATCGTAAGACGAGTTCACCAAAGATGCGACCGGCGGCAGAGATGCACTACTGTTGTCGAACGTCTGATAAAAGAAAAGGAATACATGAGGTCTCTGCTTTGAAAATGGCTGAAAACTCAGATTTGTGCGTCGCAGATACTACTGTTCTGCGAGGTCAATTCAGTGCTCTTTGCGGTGTAATACTAGGAGAGCGAGAAGAGAGCAAAAGCGTCGAATAAATGTCAAAAGAATAACGAACGTACCTGCTTAGCAGTCTCGGAGATGTTGAAAGCAAGCTGAGCGGTTCGCGACGCGTTTTGTGAATCAGTCTTCGCTTTGTCAAAGCACATCAGGCTTTCATCCATGTTAGACAAAGTATTGTTGATCTTCGTGAGTAAACTTTGTCCTGACGAGTAAGAAGCTGAGAAACGGTCTTCAACCTGACAGACAACGAAAAAAGAACAAATTGAATTTTCTGGCTCTGGAAATAATGGCAATTATGCAAATCAAAGTACACGTGTAGCCTAAGGCGGGCGCCGGCGCCAAAACACAATGCACGACAGATTCTTTTAGTTGCCGATATCACACAATGTTTTGCACGCTTCGCACTGCATTAGCCTAACAAAATGTTGGTCTAATTTCTCAACACTCGTTATCGCCAGCTTAAGGTTATGTTCATATTACACTGAACAGCTTTTGAACAAAAACATACTGGAAAGGACATCTGTTCACAAATAAGAGCAGTGATTTCGGCTCAACTTCTACAACGGGGCAAAGCTCAGCAGCACCCAACGACTGTTTTCTGTAAAATATCTGTTCGGAGAAGCAAATATTGACTAGAATTTTCTATGGCTTAAGGACGGTTAACAATTTGTAGATGACAGTTCGATTCACGTACAATTTTCGAAACTTATCTGATAAATTCCCCACGATATTCTGAAGTTTAATTTCTCGTATTTCACTCTCGCCGGCTAGGTTTCACTACTTTATGGTAGAAAAAAGAAAACCTAAAAGTTTCTGATTTCAAAATGTGATGGAGAGAGGAATCAGAAAAATTCTCACTTTCGTAAAACGTTAAATTGCATCTAAAATTTCGGAAAAATAATACTGAAGCCCTTGTAATTTCGACGAGGCTCAAGTTTCCCTAGGATGACCGAACAGATACAAATTCTATAGGGCCGCTTACAATGCATTTCTAGAGATCTAAAAGTACTCTGAACAGTCTAAAAAGTGTTTTTAATGTGTTCAGGAGGAAACCGTCGTTGGATGCCCCTAAAAGTTGCGCCGAGCCGATCTCTAAAGTGGAGAGTCACATACCAGAAAGGTGGGTGGCATTTCACGTCGACACAAAAAGTTACCCTCTATTGTGTGAACAGAGCCTAAAACATATATCTGTTCGGTGCCCAAGTAACGCTGATCCTCGACATGAGGAACGGAGGAAGCAAAAAGTAGATCATTCTCTTACTAACCTCCCACGCAGACGTTCTTTTAGCTCGTCATGCAATCCTCCCCAGTATCGTCGGGCAGGAATACGTGACGAACCCCTAAGAAGGTTTGCGTGGGAGGCTATTCTCTTACCGTCTGAGTGATATTGTTGATGCTATTGATCATTGCATCAGTTTGTTGCTGTAGTGCGAGTCCTTGCTGTCTGAGATGCTGGGATGAGTTAATAGCTGTCTCTATATCCTGCACTCGGCCGAGTGTCTGTTGTGCCACGGTTCTGTTTAAAACAAAAAGGAAAGAACAAAAATGAGATGAAGGTCGAAATGGGATGAGATCGCAATTACCAAATTTTAGTCAATCATCGATTGTTTGTTGTTTCTTTGAATCCAGTGTCTAATCCTCTCTTCTTAAATCACTTCCCATTCTTTCAACAGGCTATTACTAAACTGCGAACAGACTTCAAAGTGGCGATCGCGTTGTCAGTGTCTCTTAGACGGGAAAAAAAATCTAACAGGCAAATGTGACGGATATAAGTGTACGATGCAAATGAGTCTACTCTCACTTTAAAGACACAGCACCAAACAATCTGTAAATAGCAAGCTGAAAAGCCAAAACCTTAACAACTGGCTTTTTATCTAACAAATCTCCAACTTACATGGCCTTCTGTGATAACTCCTCCACCTGTCTGGCTTGCTTGAGCCCCTGTTGAGCTGCTTCTAAAGTCTGATTCACCATCTCACGGCTGACGTTAGTGTTTAGTATATCTTCTGTTAAGTTTTGAATCTGGTGCAGTGTAACCGGCATGGTCAAGGTTCGAACTTCATCTGCAATCCTCATGGCTTCGGTTGTCATGTTGTTCACTCTTGCTATTGTGTTGATGTCTTCTGTTACGTTAACAATGGCTTCCTTCGTGTAATTAAGAACCTTCGTGGCATTCTCCTAGAAATTAGAATGTTCAATTGGCATATACTGCGGTAGTCTTTGGATGACTCGGAAATGGCCTATTCGCCACTTTAGACACGAGGAGGGAACTGGAACAAAATCGCGTCCCACAATTGTTTCTGGGATTGTTACTAGGTACCGGTCAGCTATTGGCCAATTTTCCCTGTCCCTAGTAACAGTCCCGAAAGTCTTTGCGAGAGTTTCCAAGGCACAGTATTCCAGTCGTTTCTATAGTGGTGATTAGCGCGTATTTCAAATTACTTTCATTTACTCAAAAGAGCGCTTCCCTTCTTTTTTTCGAATAAGCACCGCACTGACAAACACACACATAAAAAAAATAATGATCGCTTTCGAGTAACATGAACGAGAGTTTTGAAAAACGAAAACTACACAGTAGGTGATGTCACCAATAGCAACAAGCGTGTAACCTATATTATTACTGTCCATTCAAAATTATATTCTCCCGACTTCATTTTCCCTTGACATTTCCCTGAGCATCATAAAAATGTCACTCACTTTGGAGTATCAAATTTTTCTCCAACTTCTTTGCCAGGTCATGAATTTTCTTCTTTTCGTTTTGGATTTCTCTGCGTTCTCCACGATATCTCCACAATGGGAGTTATACGCCAATGATTGTTTTACCACGATAAATGATTTTTTTTTTTTTAACTTTTCATTGAACTTCTCCGACTATGGAAAAAATTCATTTTTACTCTCAACAGATTTTTCTCGAGCGGGCCAATTTATTTATCATTCACCATCATCATTCGGCCATTTCGCTCTACACTGCTAGCAGAGGTTTCTCTTTTGCATGTATTTTAGCGTTTACGAAGTCGTTCGCGTCGCTTGTCAGTTGTCATCGCATTTGCAAGATCCTCCCTATCAATTCCCTATTTATCATGAGGCATGCAAACTGACCTTAAACTCTGTAGCTGTATTCAAAGCATTCTCTGCTTCCATCTCCACCCGCATCGCATCAGAGAGAGCATTTGAAGCGCTGTCCCGCGCACTTTGCGCTTCACGCCTCCGCTGACCCGAAACATTCTTCGCTTCTGAAGCAATCTCCATCGCCTGCGTCAAATTCATGTTCGCTTTCTCTTCCAAGTCTTGCGCAAGCGACAACAACTCCTGTAAAACTGAAATGATTTGACTGATCTCTTCCAGCTTTTGTGAATGGTTACGATACATGCTCTGAAAGCTGTCACCGAGACTTGACTCGACTGACTCTCGTAACAGTGACACCAGCCCGAGTTTGTTGATGGATTCGCTGATCTGATTAGCAGCAAGATAAGCTGTGGTATTTGCCTGCTGAATCTGTTTCAAAGACAAAGAACTAATGTCAAAAAATTACAGCCTTGTTTATAGTAAGGTGCACTTAGCTTATCCGGCTAGTTTACAGGCACTACACCCAAATAATTAGAAACAACTATCACAAATATAATATTACGGGATTAAAATCCTAACTGGAAGGAGGCGTGAACCGAGGATTTGAAATCTGGACAACCGAGAACAAATCCAGCAAGTCGCCAGAGCGGGACTCGAACCCAAGCCAGATTGCGAGTCCCACGCGCTGACAAGTCGGTCACGCTGAATGGCCTAAATAGCTAAAAGAGACATACAGCGCCGCCTGTTTCTAGCTGCACTCTTTCATGTCTTCCTCAATATACTTTGTAGTTAAATAACTTTGAGAAGCAAAAGATGTCCAACAAAAATCATCTCGCTTTATTTAAACTTTAATTTTGCAACACCAAAAAAAAAAACACGAAATACACCTGTCTGGATTGCGAATTCAAAATTGAGTCAAATAATCATTTTGTTTTTCTTTAAGTAAAACCCCTAACTCTAAGCACAGGGTTCGTACAGATTTTTGGATCCAAAGTTCAAGACTTTTTCCACACTTTTTTCCAAAGCAATAATTTCTTTTTTCAGATTCGAGGATATCAAATAGGTGATCAATAGAGACCTTAAAAAACGCAGGAACAAACGTTTTTTCATGATGCACTGCAAACGTACGAGCAACGTTGAATAAGATTTGACCAAAACAGAAAAACTTTCACTTATAGAGCAATTGTTGTAGCTTTCCAAAAGAAAAAAAACTTTAGACTTTTTACCATTTTTCAAGACTTTAGGTCTGGAAAATTGCTAGACAAATTTCAAGACTTTTTTTTAAGAATTAAAGACTCTCTACGAGTCCTATGAGCAACGACTGAGACAATCGCGTTGACTGAGTTATCTAAAAAACTTCTCTTCACCCAAGTTTAAGTAAAAAAAAAATAGCGTATCTTGGCATCTTACCATGCTGTAACTATTTTGAATACTGGTGTAGTTGGCGTATCCCGAGGCGTTAGCTTTCATAGCTCTTTGGCGGTAGCTCTGTGCCATGGCTTCAATACACTGCCAGTCAACAATCACGCTAAGCCCACCCCCACTGGGGCACACTACAGGGAAAGATGGGTACGACAGAGGGGTGGCTGGAAGAATACGCACGCTCCCGTTGTAGTTCACTACGTTTTCTGCCAGGTACTTTTGCGCGTCCTCGATTGAATGCTGAGAAGAGTTCAATTGCTGTTGCAAAGAGTTGACGGAGTTTTGAATCTGTAAAAGATTTTAAAATTAGTTCTGATTATCAGGTAAATATATCTTAGACATGGCAAAATTCGCTCTTACTAGGCAGAAATACCATTAAATCACCAAGTCTCTTACAATCTAGAATACCCAAACTCTAAGAACAAACAGAACGCGAGAGACTAGCCTGCGAGCAAACTCCTCCTCTCGCGTGACTTCTCGCGACTCCCCCACATCGAGAGCTTGCTCGCATGCTAGCGAGAGACAGTCATTATGCAGGCTGTTTGAATTCGTCTTATTGAGGGAGTTACAGTAGTTACGCAATAAAGCCCAAAAATCCAGTGAAACGATGAACAAACACAAAAACACAGTCGAATATATCGTAGATAAGTCTTCTTTTATTCATTTCATTGAAGGAAAAGTTAGATTTAACTCTATTTAGCGTTCGCAGATCTTAGTATTTTATTACTCAAACAAAGTCTCTTATTTTCAAGGTCGCCAGTAACGCGACACCGGCGCGTCCAGCACAAGGCCACACGTCACCTACGGCAGGTAAATTACTTTTCGCAACGTAAGTTTGGGCCACCTATGATACTACCTGAAGTAAGTATCCTCCTTAATAATCAAAGACATCAAAGGGACAGACGCAGGTACCAGCATCACAGAAGTATTAGTAGTGAGAAGTAGAAACTGTATGAATCTTAGGGAAAATCTTCCATTCGTCGCTTACTAATTGCATGTAACCATAACCGACAAGTCGAAATCTTTTGTGACAGCCCTGACTATGCAAACGTTCAGATACGAAATGATAATCTTTAGTATTTGACAATTCCCCACTGACTTTAGGAATGACAGGGAGACAAAAAAAATCTTTGGGAAAGTCACCTCGGCCGAGTTCCTTTCACGCTTCAAAAGTGGCGAATAGGCAAATTTTTGTCGGACCGTCATTGTAGGATGACTGTAATTTACAGCTCTGCGGTGTCCGCATGTAGAGATTCTACTGTACTTACCCGGTTAATCTGTTCACGTTTCTCCAGCAAGTCAGCCCTTCCCCCGCTGCTGAAAATTCCATTTGCGTAAGTGACATTTGCCGTTAGCATTCGTAAAGTACTATTGATTCCTTCCACAGACATGCTGCCAAATGACTCTAGCAGCTCTGTCACATTGCCTTTCAACTCGTTCACTTTCTCTGTCTCATCAGAGATCAGCCCTACCCAATTACTATAACAAGCTTCTGTGCATGGATGACACCTGGGTGGACTCCCTAAAAATCAAACCGAGATTCACATAATTACCTAGTCTTCAAGATACACTCCTCTTTTACAGACATGCCGGTAAAAATATATGGTGCTAGTCAGTTAAACGTAGTTTAGCCAGTGTTAAAAAAAACCGCGTTCTAAGCCATTTTCAATTTGTCCAACGGTTTTATCTAAAGACCATTCATTATGAACAGTTTTATGAGAGCATACAGAGTAGACAAGAAAAGTATTTATCTTCATAAAATAACCCACTTAGGAAGAGATCTTGAGGTCCAAAGATTTGTTAAACCGCGGCTTAAGTTAGACTTCGTTTGAATAATCGACCCATGAAGTTAAAACAACAATCCATTTTCTAGATCTTAACGTTTCAATACAAAAAGAGTCTATAAGAGAATTCACTTCCTAAGGTAGGCCAGCAAAACGTCCTTAGCGGCAAGGAGCGAGAAGAGACGGCCGTATTTGCAGGCTATTCATGGGGCTTCATTATTAGTATTTCCTTTGTTAGTTCTTTTGAATGGTCAGGCAACAATGGTAGTGGCAATCCAAAACAACACCCCTACGGTAAGGCTATCTCTGTCACGGGAAAACAAGGCTCTAACATTTTCCTGTGTTAACCGTAAACTCAACGACGTATTATTTCTGACAAAGAAAAGAACCTATTCCGTCTCGGGTATGACAGGTATTTCCAAACAAGTAAAAAAAAAGGAGTTAGCAGTGGTGTAAATACAGCAATATCTTGAGCCGGCACTCTTTGTCAGTGATTTAGAAGCACTCTAAGGCTTATCATGAATCGTCAGACTCAGGTATCCAATTAGGGAGTAAGATCGCTGGTAGATGTACCCAGGGTTTCTTTCTGGCATGACTTTTAGCATTTACGAAGTCGTTCACGTGGCTAATCAGTCGCGTAGTCGGTTTCTTAACGTCTCTCGGGGCGTCAAAAAACCGACCACTCGACTGACAAAAGAAACCACTGCTCGCAGTACTTCTCTAATCAAAGCGTTACACTTACGCCGAGCGAAAGTTTGCTGTTGCTGTACAAACAAACCAAAAGGCTCAGTAAAAAGCGCTGTCATCAGCATTAAGGTATAAAACCACTCACCGACGGTGTACGGCTTGGCGCATCCTTCACACTGTCTACCACCGTACAGGCCTCCTGCTTCACTGACACGACACTGGCATTGACCAGATCTCTGGTCACAGGTTGAGTTTGCAACGGTCTGGTTAGCTGTGCAGTTACACTCTAAAAAAGAAATGAAGGACAAGCAGAATGACCAGAAACACACAAAACATAATTTATGTAATTCAGCTCTGCGATAAAAAGACAAAGGATAACGTAAAACAAGAACCCCACCCCACCCTCCAACCCCCCCGGCCTGAAGTGCACCGAGGTAAAAGTTGTTTACACTCAAGAGTAGTATTGCTTTATATTTTATATCGATCATACCTAAACAACTGCGTGTGACGTCAAAGAAATTAGCAGCACACATATCACACTTTTGACCAATTACGTTTGGTTTGCAGCTACAGTTGCCATACATCTGGAAGGGAAGGAAAATGTTATAAATAGCATAACATTTCAGATAACTGTTTAAAGCACCTGTACTAACAAAATACAACAGACAGCGTGAAGAGAATTCACAAGCCGTAGAGAGAGAGGGTAAAAGAGCTGTCCCTCCCTCTCTTCCGTTCTCGTTTTTTCCTTTTCCCCCCCGCTTCTTACTTTGCCCTGATGGCTGTAGTAGAAAAGACTGCGTCTACGCAGAATTTGTTCTTACCGAGTCACACTGAAGGTCAGTTGAACCAAAGGAACTACAGTTACACGGTAAGCAGCCAAACTCCGTGTAATTGTAGGCGTACTGTTCACACCGGTCACATGACTTGCCGGTCACGAAAGGCTCACAGTCACAATCCCCGGTCATATTATTACACACATTGTTAACAGCACCAACTCTTGAACAGTTGCAACCTGTAACAAGAAACGACAACATTGCTATAAAACATTTATAAATATTAAAGGATACTAACTTTAGGACATCGTATTGTGCGGAAGCTTAAGCTTCCTATCATTTTTGAGAAAGTTTGTCCCTTTAGACCCAGCTTTGCGTTTTGCTCGCAAGAGAAACTTTCTAGGAACACTAAGCATAGGTCAGAGAAATCATCCCCACAGTAAATCAGATGTTGCCGAGGAATTCAAGTAACTGAGACGATTCAATTGTAGAAACCAACAAAGTTTGACTCACTGGATACTGAATACCTCAGAGAAAGAAACATGCCACAGAGGTCATCTATATAAGGCGTCCTAGCCCTATGTCTTAAAGACATACAGTTATAGCTCGCATATAAGATCCTCCGATTTTCCACAACAGGCAAAAATTGTTCGTTGTTACGTGGAGAATAGTTCTTATATATCTAGCCGGATTTTTGATAACGTTATCGCCAAATGGACCTTTTGCGTCCAACAGTTTTTTTCGACAAAAAACTATCTCCAAAGTAGCCATTATCATGTAAAAACTAAGAGTGCAGCCATTGTTTTTTTTTTCTTCTCCTCCTTTCCTTCTCCTCGCTCTTTCCTTTTCCTTCTTTACTGTGATTTTGGAGCTTCTCGGGCTTAAGAAACCTGCCTTCTGACGCCCTTTCAGTCAAATGACCGCGAACTTCGTTGGGCTGGATTTCAAAAATCGGCTACATATATATGGTTCTTAATCCGCAGTTTCTTACATCCAAGTTTGCCTTTACATTATTAATTTGAGTCACGAGAATAACAAATGAATCTTTCACTGACTACATTAAGAAATTATAAAAGATATTTCAAAGGAGAGAAAATAATTCAAGTTGTACATACGTGTGCAATTCTTGTTCAAGGCACTTCCGTAATATTGAGGAGCACACCATTCACAGTTAAATCCAGTTGTGTTGTAGAGACACTTGAGGCATTGTCCCGTAGTTGTGTTACAGTTTCCACTAACACCAAGATCTATGTTGTCATTGCACTCACAACGGTGACACTGTCCATCTGGCTCCTGTGATAAAATAAACCAATGAATTGGGAATTTAACTTAGAAAGCAGCTAGAGCACTAAAGAAGTAGGGAGCAACACTCGACTACGTCTGTTTCCCGACGACACTTCTTTCCTACTCTAGCCGCTTCCTGCGTCCTTTACAAAAGAACAAAGCATAGTCAAGGCTTCTTTATTTTTTAAGTAAACAATTTGGGGTTCATTTTTACGCCTACTCACCCACGGCCGCCCAAAGTATCCATCCATGCACATTTCACAGTTTCGTCCAGTGGTACCCCGTGAACAGTTGTTACAGGTCGGTAATCCGTCAGTTTCATTTGCAAAGCAAGTCTTGGCGAACTGATTGGACGCGAGCGGTCCACCAGGGCATGGACAGGGTCTACAGTCATCCGGGGTACCATTTTTAGCGTTACCATACCAACCATCTGAACACTTTTGGCAATGATCACCTAACAGAGAATCAGAAAAATTGTTAGAGATGCAACCTTAAAAAGACAAAGATCGTTGTTCCGTAAATGGAAGTAAATGGAAGTGTACTGATATGATATATTCAGTGCATACAACCTGAAGACGACGGGCGAAGCAAGAAATTCCCTCCCCCGCCCCCAAATTAATTTTTTTCCCGTAAAATGCTGAGAAATGACTAAAGTTCTGCCTCATAAAATAAACTATAGAGAAGGAATGAACATCTCCCTTTTAATATTAATGCAACTATCAGAACGGAACGGAAACAGACAAACACAGACAAGCGTGGCAAACAAACCATAAGAAAGCGGGCCGGGCTATATTCACCCTGTAAATGCTGCCTATATTACCTGTCGTGTTGTGTGTACAGTTATGACATACGCCAGTCTCAGGATCGCAGCTGTTCGAGTGCCCGTAACACTGACAAGGAACGCATGTGACGTAAGGCCCTCCATTCGGTGTGCTGCGTGTGTACCCCTCGGCGCACTGCTCACAAAAGCTCCCCTTGTACTGTGGTGGGCAGTTACAAAGCTCTACATTGAACGCATTCTCTGGTGAGGCTAAAACACTAGTCCTGGAAGATAATAAAGAAGAGCAAACAACAATTATGGCTACAGAACGGTTTTCACATAAACGAGAGCGGTTTGAAAGTTGTGGTTACACATACCGATGATATTCTATGTGCCAGAGTATAAGGGGTCAAACGGTAGTTTTGTTCCCATGATACGTGCCGCGAGCAGCGGGTCCATTGCGCGGGAAATTTCATACAAACACTCATCTGATTGGTTGATTTATCGCGCGGCATAAAAACCCAAAACGAAAATCTCGGCAACTGACAGGATCGCTTCCTTTGAACTTTTTTTTAAGTGGCTGGCTCAGGTTTAGTTGTACAGCTCATACAGCGAAAACTGGATGTGAGTAAAAACGCTGCAAGACGTATCGATTTATTATTTGTCTGAAGGGAAATTGAAAACAATGTTTGGAGGAAAAACAAAGAATATTGTGGTATTTTTAAAAAAGGCCTATGGAAGGAAACATAGCGGATTAACTGTATACTGCATACCTATTGCTTAGAGTCATGACAATGTCACCAAGTCGGCTGTCTAGTTGAGTTGTAAGCGATGTCCATTTGGCCCTGATGCGCAAGGAAACTAGGTCACTTAATACTTTAATCATTTCGTAGCTTGTAGGTTGACGGCCAGAAGTATCTCCAACCCTCCATTCACTCTCAACAAATTTGACCTAAGAAACAAAATAACAGAGAAAAGTCTCGACATAAGCGAAACATTTACTTGTAAAAGACAAAATCACAACTTCCTATCACACAAATATATCTCCCAGAGGATTATAACAAACGTTTCAAACACGCAGGCCAACAATAAGAATTAAATTTCAAAAACTGTTCGGCTAACAAGTTTTCAAAAACGGTAATTGCAATCCGCTTTAATCTTCTTCAAATTTGTACATCCGCGCCATTTTGTATTTGCTGAAGTATTTATACCTTCTTTTAATATTTTCAGCCCTTATTGTTATGTTTTACCCAATTTGGTGGCAACTCTCACTGATTGAATTGTAATAAGTTCCGTGACACAGCTCCTTTAAGGAACAGCAGTTTTTTCTTTCTTGGGGGAAAGAAATATTACCAGCCTCAAAGGGAGGCTAACGCTAAGAAGGTGGGGGGGCGTTTATTGTCAAATCTGAGCGATTACGATAAATGCTGCTGACCTCTTGATATTACAATCTAATCTTACCCGATAACTGGTAAAACTTTCTCCTGTAGACGGCGGAGTGCCAAGGCTTGTAACAAGCGGCTGATCAAACCACCTGCCTTTAAGAATAACATCCCCTGTCGAAGAAGCCGCAGGAAAAGTCGCATTGTCCTGCTGTAGTTTGAATGACAGTGTAAAGGTGTACGCAAATCTCTTGTCTCCAAGGTACTTATCAGGAGCAATAAAATAGAATTCATCAGATCCACTGGTCTCAACTCTCATTGATCCTCTGAAAAAAGTTATATGGATGATATTTGTTATTATCAAATGTGTGGTAACTTTAAAGAATATCAACTTCATAAACCTTGCAAAAAATTGCGGCTTATGGAGGCTTGAAGCAAGGCTTGAAATAAATTGCCAATTGGTCATCCAGGACAAGTAGATTTTCTTGCTGGGTAAGGAGCTCTTTATAAGCTTGTTTGCTTAATGTGAAGTACCCTAGGTAAAAGAGGCTCCTTGACACAATACAGGTAATTATCATCTGTCTAAGAGTTAGTCCCTACATTTCCATTCAACTCAGAACGACCTCCCAAGGGATCAATTGGATCGCAAGGCCATTTTTACGCGTTATTGACCAAGCCTAAGGTCAAGATGGCTGCACATTGGCAGAGTTCTTTTTTTGCATTTTTATAGACCTAGGCGAAGTCGTGGTCACTAAAACGCAAAAAAAAAGAACTAGGCCAGTATCCAGCCATCTTAACCGAACAAGCTTGATCAACTAAGGATTTATTAAAAGGCCAAAAAAGAACTTTTTTGTGGGACCAATGCGGGAAATCCCCCACGGGCGTGCAAAAGGGGGACATCTCGCCCCCTCGAGTAAGCTATCAGATGACAAGAACTACACTTACTTGCTGACAGGTTCTACTGGAATTCCCCAGTTTAAATGTACTTGCACAAATTGAACACTGTTATTAGCAGTCCATCCATCAACATTGGTGTTGTCAAAGAGAACAGAAAGGCTGGTTGTAACCTCCGATACGAGCCATCCTGGGTCACGAGTACAATTCGACGTTTTGTTTGAACACTGGCACTGAAGACATCCCTCAGAGTGATTGGCAGCCAAGCCATAGAAACCAGACGGACATGTATCACACTGGCGTCCAAGTGAAAAGGTCTTACAAGGACACTGGCCTGTGGTCTTGTTACAAATAAGGTTGACACTTCCAGCACTGTTACATTCACACGTTCGACAGCCTGTGAGTTAAATTTCAATAATTCTGGATTAAACAATAAGGATGAGGACAAATTGAACGATCACACCCTTACACGACTCAACTACAATAGTTAATTTGTTCTTTGGCAAGAACCTTTAAGCCACAATATTCACATACAAATATCCAAATATTTCCCACACACAAATTCTCCAAACTGATCTCCTTACATTTCCTTACAGTCATGTAAAGATTTATAGCTGGGAAAATTTAATAAGAGAAATAATGGTGACCATTTTGTTAATAATTCTCGTATGCTTTTTTTATTGATGATGATGACGTATTGATGTTGTTAAGGAGAGTTGATCTTGGTCACTCTTGGAACTTAAACAATAAAGGGTTAAAGAATTTGGTGTAGGACTGTAAGGTAAAGTTTTTGAGTTTTCTACTCAAGTAATAAGAAACAAATACCGGTACTTTTTATAGAATAGAATAGAATTAAAAACCCCAACTGGCAGGAGGCAACTAGATGGATGCAACCAAGCATGGGGGAGGATTTAAATCCGGAAAGACCAAGAAACAAATCCAGCTAGTAGTCATAACGGGGACGTGAACCTGAAAATACTAAATTGGGAGTTTGACGCACTGACAAACTTAGCCCCGCAAAGAATGAACAATTGTATTACATGTACACTGTACGTCTATCCTGCGAGCAGAGGCAGCACGCCAGCTCACACCGCGAAAATGTAGCCTCTGCTTGCAGGGTACTGTACGTCACGCCCAAAAGCCTTTCCATACAAGAGGACCACAAGCAATCACAGTTTAATTGCCACGATGCTACTGCTGTATTTCTCTACTACACAGTACATACACAAATGTTGCTTGGCACATGTATCTTTTATATGTCAATGCACTACACTCAAAGACCAGTCACTTACAGTGCCAAACTATGCACAAACAACATGGCCTTACCTTGATCAGTTAAATTATAGAACTGGTCAGCACATCCTGTACATTTTCCACCATTGATACCAGGTTTACAGCTACAAACACCACTGTTATCATCACATTGAAGACTGCTTGAGTACACTGGATGACAGTTACAAGGGGAACAACCAACCCCACTGTTGAAGTTATAGTAATTTCGTAGACAACTGTTGCAGCGTCGTCCAGTGACATTTTCCCGGCATGAACACTGCCCTGTCTCATCATGGCAAGATGTTTCATTTGCACCAGTCAGATCACAGTTACAAGCTGTGGAAAATCATTTTCAAGCAACTATTTAGAACACACTCAAAGTTCACAGCACAAAAAATTATTGTACAAACGGTGTTCCCAGTTCAGCCAGCTGTATACACTGCATGTAGTCGCTCAGTGTATTATTATAAAATGTGAATTTTTTCTTTTATATTTTTTGGTCATGTAATTGCACACCACAATACAAAAAAGAAAGAGAAAATTACAACTGAACCAGGCGTAAAAATTGAACTTGTCACCGGCCATAACTTAGATAACCCACACACAGTCAAATCAAGACCTTTGGCAATGCCCTCTGCATTTTTATTTGACAGACCTCCAGCTACAGGTACTATCATAATAAAACTAAAGGAAAATAGGGCCAAAAGAACAGTTGATCCCTAACCGTTCAGTTCTCTCCTTACTATAAACTGCATATACCCAACAACCTGAAATCTTACTTATAGCCCCAGGGTGCAAAGAAAGTCAGTTTTACAGCCTGCCATTCGGGCAAGCTGTAACTAGCATGTACAAGCCCACAAGTCATTTCAACTAGCCCCAAAATAGCCCCCAAACCGTTTTTGATTAGCAGGATTGATTACAATCCTTCTGTAATTTGAATTTCCCCCAAAAACAGCACTTGCCTGTCGGGCAAGTTAAGAACAAAAATCACTAGCACTAGAGCAAAATCCACTAGCCCCATGCTATTGGACACTACTTTCTTTGCACACTGAACCCTGTGCTAGAATCCCTTGAATGGTGATATCTAACCTGAACAGCCATAACCAGAAGTGAAGTTAAAATAATCAGGCCTGCACGCATCACAAGTGCGACCAATCACATTTGTTTTACAGTCACATTGGCCTCCATTTCTGGCACACTGCTGGGGGTTATTTGAACCAACTTCACTGCAGTTGCAACCTGCAAAGGAAAAAATAGCATTCATGAATTACAAATGACAAAAGAAATAACTAAAAAACAATCAAAATCTTTATCAAATGCATGGCAATCATGTAAAGAGATTACAATTTTATAAAATTCAACTCCTATTTTCATTTACAGTCAATCAAACAAAACCATGAACACCAAAAATATTTCTAGAATCAATGTTACTGTTTTGCAACAAAAAAGCCAATCAGGCATGAGGAGTCTAAGCCCCAAGCTACGTGTACAACATCAGTTTGTGGTTTTGTGGCTGGCTTGCACATCCTGTTCTTTTTCCGTCACTGGTTATAACTCAATAAACATTTTCTGAAATATTTCAAGTGTTAACGGTTTTGTCAGTTTGACTGCAATTGTTTACAGAAATATTTATTTGATAGTTGCAAGACAATACTCTAGGGAACATATAACTCTTGTCTTTACAATTAGTCATTTTTAAAATTTTGTCTTGTCTTGAAAAAAACTTATTTCTATTTCATTTGTGAGCAGAGGTTTCTTTCTGGCATGGCTTTCAGCATTTTTTTAGGTCCAACTCTGTCAGGGATATAAACAAACCATCTAAGTGATTGCAGACAAGCCATGCGAATGACTATTGCAAATGATGCCATGCCAGAAAGACACCTCTGCTTGCGGGGTATTGTTTTTTAAACATATACAAGTAAGTTAAATAAGTAAAGTTTTTGCCTTGTCCTTCTCCAAAGATCTCGCCAAACACTGGGGAGAGGGAAGCACTTCCTTCAACAGAGACTGCTGACCAGCTTCGCAAAGAGGCTGACTGGTTAAAATAATATGTCATATTTTCCTGCACTGCTGGGGAAGCTGACTTAAAGACATCATATTCTGATACAGTTGGCATAATCACAAGCTGGGGAACAAAAGAGTTTTCCAAAAAATAAATAATAGCTACAATTTGTATGCAAAATTCATAAAGACCAAAACAAGCCAAGTAAAATAAAAAAAACAAACAAACAAGATTATTAAATTATTTAATTTAGTCAACAACAATCATCTACAGTATGCCACTGCCAGGGAAATGGTGAGACAATAGATGAAGTTGTAGGTAATAAAAAAAACCACATTTTGTTTTAAAAGGCAAATAATAAGTTAAATATTTTACATCTTAAAAATTGTCATCGAATCCAACTTTTACTGCAACTTCAGTTGCAAAAATTTTTTTCTAAATACCATGGCGACCAAAAAAGTCACAGCTTAGAGCAGTGCTATCAAGGAGAAAAAAGTTATTCTTACAGAGTCCACAACAATTTCTGAGTCCAACACTACTGCCCTTCGCCTTCTAAAAGCGAGTACTTGTTGTTGTGGAATGGTCAGATTCACTGTGTATTGCCCAGCCAGCAAACACTGCTTTCCAAAATCATAAGCTTCGAGTGCTGCCGCCAAAGATCCACGAAGGATGTAAGGTTCATTGCTGTTGACTTGAGTTTCATTGTTACAGGAAAACGGGATAAAAGTTGTCCGTAGCAAAGCATTGATAGTAATCATGGACCAGTCACTATTTGTCTGGAAATAAAAAAGATATGATTAAATGTAGAGGTGGCATATTATGTTATCAACAAATGAAGAGGCACAGCCATCACTAAGGATCGTAACCTCTAACACCTGTTATGGCTGAGCTCACTTGATTTTACGGGTGATGAAATCGGAAAGCTGAAGGAGGCACTATAAATTTTTGTGAGATGTTCCAGGTGAATCTTAATGAGAGCCCTGAAATGGTGCTTTTGATTTACAGGAATTTATTCTTTCCAAATCACACCATTATAACTCATGAAACAAGAGGAGAATATTCAATTTTTGGAGAAACAGTTCTTTTCTTTTTCCAATTGCCAGGCCACAGTCATTGGAGAATTCTGATACAGTCAAACCTCAATGTGCGGCCACCTCTTGCCAGCAACCACCTATCTTAACGCCAAAATTTTCCCAGTCAAATTTATACTACAATAAATATTAGAACCTCTTGTAAATGACTGTCCGTCATAACCAACAGCAACCACTTGTTTGGATGATTGTTTTATAAGTCTCCATTATTTTTACCCTCTTGTTTATAAGTGACTATTTGATGCCATGGTTTGATCTCTGTCTGCTGAATGTACTACTCTATCCATACAATATGCAAAGATTGTTTAGTGACAACATGAAAATGCACATATTTTAAATTAGAAATTGAATGCAATGAGGCTCTTCTAAAATGTAGATCTATGTGTTTTAAAAGATCTTTTGGAGGCAGAGAGCCCCTGTGGATGAATTCTCACAGGCAACCATTCAATCTTCCCATTTTGGGTGGTTGCTTTGTTTGACTGTACACATAAAAGGTAAGTCAATCATGCGATCACTTGACAGTGTGCATTCATGTGTAGTTGTGGCAAAAACACAAACTCACCTGGATTAATTGAAGTCTTACCTTGTATCTGAGAATGAAATTAAAGAAACCAGTCTTGGGGATGTTTACTGTAAACTGAAGCACAGTTGGTGAAGGACCACTGGTCCCTTCAGCTAGAACCACGCCCACTACAAGGACTCTCTGACCAGCAGTATTGATGATTGTTGTATGGTTAATTCTCTTTGTTGGAGGCTGCAGAGGGACAAAAATAATACAGAAGGGAAACAATATTAAAAATCATTGCTGTCATAAAAGTGTGGCTGCAAGGCTGTAGTCAGGGGAAATCCCACCCTTTAGTGCTTGTAAGAACCCTGTGTCAGGTCACCATGAAAAAGGAGCCTGCATACACTCAGGCATTTTCTTGCAACTGACTAGAAGTTTTTGTTTCCAGCACAGAGGAGTTATTAATGGCCTTGATTCCATTTTTTTTTTTTCAGTTGATAGTGCGCATCACCTCAGTGCACTGTTTACAGTAGAATCGAATATCAAACTTGGCCAATCATGCTATCATGTCATTGTGTTTCATTGTAAGGTAAGTTATTATTCAAAATAATATCCAATGATCAGTGGGAAAGAATGTTGCATTCGGAGAACAAAGCTTTCAAAGGGAAGCACAAGGTTCTGAGAAGAAAAGGAGTTATCTCAGACCACATAAGACCAAGACTACATGTACTCAAAATAAAAATGTATTTGGGTCTCAGGTTAGAAATCAATATTAAAATCATGTTGAGTATTAGTAGGATGTTCACAGTATATCACATTACTGGATGACAAGTGAAAATGAAGAGAAATCAATGCTAAGAAGATGACACTAAATTCCCTAGGAAAAGAGACAAAGATTTAAGAGAAGTTCACACATTTACACCAAGAAGATACTGATATACATTAGTACTTACAGAGACAGCAAAAGCATCTTCGGCTTGAAATGTCATAAAATCAACACTTGGCAGAAAGAAATTTGGTTCAATTACATCACACTTTAGCCCTGAGAATCTTGGACGGCAAAAGCATTGCCCAGTTGAAGAGCAAGACTTGTTCACTGACCCTGCCATGTCACAATTACATGCAGTACAGCCTGGGTGTTGAGACGTTAACCCAAAGTAACCATCCTGACCAAAGAAAGTTAAAAATATACCAGCATAAACAACTAAGCTATTAATTTAACACCAGAATAATTATTTCATTATAATGCACTGCAGATGTACATCACAATTTTTTTTTACTTTAACTGTAACATTCTTAATCCAGAATCCAAATCCGGAAAACACACCCCAAACACCAAACGACTCTGAAGTTTAGGGATTAGGGTTAGAAAACTGAGTGAATCAGGTTCCATTTAGGGTCATTATATTGGGCAAACTGACCTGAAACTTAATTCACTCAGTTTCCCAACCATAATCACTAAACTTCAGAGTCCTTCAGCATTCAGCAGGGGTTTTCAGAATTCCGAGTTTTAGGCAAACCAGCATTTAAGCTAAATAGAAGCTCAAATAAAACACAGGATAGTGCACACTGTACAAACAAAAATAAGTTATAACTTAAGGTTTGAAAACCCACAACAATGCACAACCTAAGCTCATACAGCAAAGTGTAGAATAACAACAACAACAGGCAATAATCTTTATTTTCCTTATCTAAATCTTACAGAAGTGCACTGGTCTGCATGCAGTTAGGTAGTGCCAGTCTTAGCGGGTCAGTCAATTTAGGTGTAGGGAAGAGTAAGAGTGATTTTGTTTTTATTAGGGACGCTGTAATAGCCCGTACGAACGACGCAACGCTGCAGCAGTTCACTTTTATGGTTGCACAGCGCTTAAGCGTCTGTAAAGCAGTGCTCGTGAGTCGCTAAAGCAGAGAACGTCACATTTCGTGTACTGCGAAAGCGCTGCAAAATTTTGCCACGGTAAAGCAGCGGTAAAGCAGCACTGCGGGCCGCTGCTTAAAAGCTGCAATGAGACTTAGATATAAACATTGAAACCACTCCATATGACAACCTGAATACAAGCGACGCTTGAGGCTGCATTATCGCTGCACAACGCTGCAGATACCAAATAAGGACTTAAAGATCTTCAAAATTAAAACCCTGGAGAGCAAACCCAGACGAACTTGCAGCGCCGTACGGCGCCACAAAATAGCTGTACAGCTAAATTACAGCTGTTTAGCAGCATTTTAGAAGCCAAACAACAGCTTAATCCAAGTTGCAGCGGGATGCAAAAGCGCTGGTGCTGCCTTTGAAGTTCTCGGCAGCAGTTTTGCAGCGCAGTTGCCGACTTTCAATAGCTGCAGTAACGCTACAATTCAGCTACGCTGGATCTGATAGCACAACGTTCTTGAGCGCTCATAACATGAACCGCCAGAAAAGCCTTTTGCCACAGATTACGGCTTTCATAACGAGAAAACTTTGACTGTACCTCTAAGAAATGTGAGTAAGCTTATGCGCAGGGAAGATCACTTATTGAATAAACCTCCAAATTCTATGCTTTTGGAATAAAGATTTCAATAAATTTTATTCCGTGACTGGGCAGTGTGGGAATGTTATCGCTAATTCCTGGAGACATTCTAGGCTGTAATCTAATTGGTCGGCACTTTTGCATCAGATCACATTACATCGCTGGACAAACATTTGCGACCGTTGAATGAAAGGCGCAAACATTCATACATTGTAAGTGTTTAGCAACTAGTTCAGTGTTTCGAGGTGGAAGATCTATTGATGTTGTTGGATGGAACAGCGCAAAGGTATTTGTAAACAACGGCACTGTTCAGTGAATTCTCACGCCGGTACCGTTTAATCGAACCAGAGCAAGCAACACAGATACAAGAATCTGAGCTGGGGGTGCGCATGTATTTACAAGATTCAAACGTTCACGATGATGTACGTTCCTTAGTCCATTGTAAATTTAACGGCGACCAAGGTAAAATTGGGTTGATTTCTTTCATGAAAACAGTGACGGCAGATCGTGGATCATGGACAAAACGTCAAGGTGAGCGATGTTAGGCTGTTGCAACGAATCAAAACATCATTTGGCTGCTGTCCGTGCAAACTTTATGTAGAACAATCGCTCTTATTCTCTTTATTTTAAAAAAAGATAAACTTCAATGTCAGCATGTTAATGGATGTTCTTACATTTAGATGAGTGACCGTGATTGCTGAATATTTACAAAGCGAGACTCGTAGATTTTTTATATGTCACCTGCTTTTGTAACGTGTACGCGTGAATACTAATAAAGTATCAGTTGCATTTTGTATTTCTTGTGGTTTTTACTCCGCTACTATAAGGCCTCTTGTCAACTCCTTTACCATGTCTCATGATTATTGTATTGTTGAAGTCTGCATTTCTTTTTTTTGTACAACTGTTCTTGGCAGCGCTTCACTAACGCTGCACAGCGCTGCATAAAAGCTGTTTATCGACCGTATGGCCTCGTGTGGCTATTTTTTTGCATCTTTACGGCAGCGCTCCTGCAGCTCTCAGTGTGGCTACCGCAGCGTTCACGCAGTCACAAAAATGCACTGCTGCAGCGAACGGAAAACAGCGTTCGTGCAACCTTTCTGCAGCGCTCGTTGCAGCGCTAATAAGTCGCTAAAGCAGCGCTGTTTTAACGTCTTCTGTATCGTACGGGAGCTCAGCCCAGCAGAGCAATCTTTTGCACCTAAAAGCAGTTAGAACAGAGGTGGCCAAGAGATGTATTTACTATCACCTTGAAAGCTTGGTTTTTAATAATATTGTAAATAATGTGCACATAAATTTGTGTGATTGTTTATTACCACACAGTTAATCATTATAATAATTGTAAATGTACAGTATGTACTTTTTCATTTTTTGTTTTTACTTTTGTATATATTTTATTGCATATTCTATAACAGTAGTTCGTGACCTCAGGTCTCCTATTGATAGCAGGGATGCTTTGCAAGCTCCCTGAAGGGACTACCCTATGAAGTAAAAGTTAAATTTTTAATATTGTAAACAAAGGTGTCTATCAATCGTACACTGTGAGTTAGTTCTCCATTTTTTAATTAGCAACATTTATTTCCTACCTGGCATTTGTTGCAGGTCCTTCCAGTCAGCAGTGGCTTGCATGGACACTGACCACTGACCTTGTCACACACGTTTGATGCATTTACAGTTCCAGTTAAATTACATCTGCAATCTAAACAAAAAGCAGTACTTTGAGCTTGTAATGGTTGACTGTAGTTTCACATTAATATAATAATATACACAGAGTCAATTGAATAAAACTCATTCAAGTTTAAGTGACAGAATTTTATACTGTCAAGTGCCACCCTTGAAAAATAAAGTTGATTATCATTTTTATTATTATTATTATTATTATTATTATTATTATTATTATCATTATTGTTGTTGTTATTATTATTATATAATTGTAGACTGTAAAACAATGGCCACACTTGTACAACTTTAAATTACACTACTTGTAAACAGTTTATTGAATTGATCCCAGGATGAAAGAGATTACAATAAACATGCACAGGCACCTTATCTGCAGAGGAAAGTCTCCATTTAAGCAAACTAACCTTCACATCCCACTTCATTGCTCATGCTCAGTTTCCAGTAGTTATCACGGCATGTATCACATGCCCTTTCTGTCACATGACTCTTGCAGGCACACTGTCCAGTTACACCATCACACTGAGAGCTGTCAGCAGAGCTGTTAACCCCAGGGATGTTACAGGCACAGGCTGAAAGCAAACAATAAGTAGAAAAATGATAAATAAATGTAAACATTGCCGGTATGCATAAGTGACATCACGGGATAAAAGGAAAATGTACAATCTTGGATTTTTACAGCACGTACTTGTACGTTAATGTGACTAACATGGTTGGTACAACTTTAAGGTCGGTACACACCAGGCGACAAGTTGCAGCAACACGTCGCAGCGACAGATCACTCCATGTGAACAGATCGGGCAACAAGTTGCAGCAACACGGTGAGGCGACACGTCGCAGCGACAAATCGCTTCGTGTGTACTGGAGAATCTTTGTGAAAACCTTTGTCTCTGCAACGGAATTTTGTCGCTGCAACAAGTCGCAAAAAATCAAATCAGACTGAATCTGTGCGACTTGTTGCGGCGACAAAATTCTGTTGCAGCGACAAACATTTTCTCAAAATTCTCCAGTACACACGAAGCGATTTGTCGCTGCGACGTGTCGCCTCACCGTGTTGCTGCAACTTGTCGCCTAGTGTGTACCGACCTTTAGACAAACAAATTTCAAGGTTTTTTCAAGGAAAAATTACAGTTTTCAAGGACTAAGATTTATTCAATAAATCGGCATCCTTTACCCCTTTTGAACACCTCAGGCAAGGCTAAACATGCCATGGAGTCATTTACGCTTTTTACTTAAATTTTCAGCCATGGTTGATAATGTTATTTCATACTTTCCACAACAACACTTTGGAAAATGACTTGCAAGTGCATCTGAGGTACAGAAATAGCATCTCAAAATAAAGTTGAGGAATAAAAATAAAATACATATTTGCTCATGCAAAAAAATGTTCTTAAGTTACCAGTGAGTTTTGCAAGTTCTGACCCCGATAAATGATGAGCCAATTTTTCCTCGGCAAAAAATCTAAGTTTACAGAAAACTCTGCCGGGCATAGACAAGGTATTGAATTTCAAGGACTTTTCAAGACCTAATAGAGTCACCGAATCCAAAGACTTTTTAACACGACTACTAAAAATTCAAGACCTTTTCAAGATTGTACAAGCCACGGGCTAATTATTATTCTACAAGGACGTCTTTAAGAGCCAGCTGCCGGCTAATTTCACCAGCTGTGAAAGACCTTGCCATTGGCTCAAATATTGTTCTGGGAAACTACATCTTGGCAGGGTTAATTTTGAAGACCGCTTAGCATCTCTGATACTAGATAATGTCATCCAGCAGCCTCTACCAGGATCACTCTGACATGTTTAGCACTTCCTGGCACTTTACAGGGCAATTAAAGCAGGTTTTACATGTAACTTTAAGATTATTTGTCCTCACATTCTGCACAGTTTCCAAGCTTTCACAAATTAACACTTCATAAGATTAACTTAGATTTCCACACTGTTAATCAAGTGGAGCATTAATTTCCATGACCTCAATTTGCATTACATTGTATTTTGGCCCTAAATTCTTGGTACAGTGTACACTACTGACATTATTGACTCCCAAGAAAGCAGAGTATTTCATCAGGATGGAGTCCTGCCAGTAAAAGTGGGACTGTGAAGAACCCTCGAAGTGGCTAGAATTCTTCACTTGACTCCCTTCATACTTTTAGGGAAAGTACCATGAACAAAGTTTCTACTTCAGATTATATGTTGGACTTTGTTCTTGCTGCCTCAACAAGTTTTGTTTCTTTCTAAGCATCACATTAATTTCATTTATTTTGAAGTGTTCTCCTCTCTAATTTATTTGCTTTACTCCAAAGTCATTTTCCACTACATAAATTCGCTTTTAAGTGGCATTAATTTCAATGATGAAGTGTTTATTTCCTAAAATAATTAGGTAAATAACATGTTTTGAGACCTTACTAATGTTATTAACTACATGTCTGTGCTACATCACCCTGCAGCACTGACATTTACAACATATGTACTCACCCAGACAAGTGTTAGAATGATTCCGTGGCACTTCAGAGTTTCTATAGAATGATGACTTGCAAAATTCACAGAAATCCCCAAAGGTATTGTCCATGCAGTTATCACAAACTCCATATTGTTTGGTCTCATTGTAAGTGCAGCTAGCAGAATGATTGTGACATTCACACGCTATGTTATGAAAGAACAGAAGGAAAAAATTACTTCATGAACAGAATTATCTATTGTATTTTAAATCTAATGACAGGCTAATTAACCAAAAATTTTTCCTTTGTCTCCCATGAATGATTAGGGCTAGGAAATGAAAAATATATTTTACCTAGAAAGGAATTTAAGAATGCACATATTATGTAAGAAGTTCAACAAAGTAATAATTATTACATTATTAAACATGTTTTATTGTACAATGAACTATAGTCTTGTTTGCTGTGGTTTGGTTGCCTGGTTGAGCAAATGTACAATTTATATTTTGCTACCACTACATGTTCTTTCAAAAAATAACACAGAGCGGGAAAAGGGTACATATATTTTGACTACATGTACATGTGTTATTCTATAATCACTGACTTTTTTTTTCATACATGAGTTATGCTACAAGAACATGTTTATTGTAAAGAGCTTCCACTTTAATTTATGAAAATACTGGATATAATAGTACTATATGTATAAGAACACTGTTGATGAAAATTAAAATTGCCTCTGAAAACACTGTGACATACAGTCATACACTGTAGGCTTGCACCGTAGCATGGGCCCAATTAACTGCGCTCTTCACAAACACGCAAACTCTAAAGTTCAAAGGCCACACCTTCACAACTGCATTTTTTGCTGCCGGCAATCATAATAATGATCACAAGCAAGAAATCTTGCAACACAGAAACCCACAAAACGGATCGAAATCCACCAATCACAGATCACAAACCATGACCTTTTGAACCTGTTTATGTAAAGTTCTTTTTCCTAAGAGGTCCGCTAAGATGATTGACAGCAGCGAAAAATGCAAACATCAGTTGGCTTTTGAACTTCAGAGTTCATGTGTATTTGAAAAGTACAGTAAACTCACTTGCTCGAGATAGCAGACACTTGATTTGATGTTTTTGGTTGCAAGTGTGTACATGTACACTGCACAATGTAAGTAAACTCAGTTTTAAGCAAATTTACGAATTTACAAGTATATGTAAATAAGACAAGCAACAAGAGTCATTACCTTCACAAGCCTCTCGGGTGCGATAAGGTCTGCTGTTGAAAAGAGGTAAACACTTCTCACAGTTAGGACCATCAGTGTTTCTCTGACATACACATCTTGAGATATCCTGACAGATAGCAAAACAAACAGCAATCAGGTACACATTAGGGAGCTTAAGCAATCATGATAACAACGACAACAACAACATTAAAAAACAAATGGTTTTATGAGCAAAACATTAGCTCTACACATGTATACCACACTTTTAAGTACATTTCTTTTCCTTTAGAATTCAATGCCAGGAGACATGCCTATGTTTGCAATGAAAATTAAATTCACTACCGTTGTCCTTGTTGCTTCTTTCTTTTACTGCTGCTTCAAGTTCATGTACATGTACTTTATTCCAAGACGCATGGGTGTATTGAAAACACAAGTCCCAGTAAGTTTTAATTAGTCTGTAAGAACTCGGCAACTTACATTTGGATCACATCGAGATGCTTGTCCATTACAGAAACATGAAGCCACCACATCCCAGTCATACACAGCAAAGTAAAAACTCTGCTTAAGGGAATCAGGAACAGAACTTGGATCAAAGCTACTTCCTGTTATAAAATTCACTAGCACCATTCTGAGGTTGGTCATTAGAAAGAAGGCCTGTTTATCAGGATCTGACAGAAGATTTTCCGCTGCATCTGAATCAAGGAGCGGTCTGTAGTAGAGCTGACATATACATGTAAAGGACAAGAAACTGTTAGGATACGTGGCAATGTCAAAATTTCCTATAATCAACCACCTGACATGCCACTCTTGGGTTATCACTTGTGGGAGGTGGTCACTTATAAGATATTTCCTTAGATTTGAACCCATTTTTCAGCCATTTTAACTAAAACTAGGATACATGCAAGTCAAACTTTTTGCTTCCAAGAACTTTAAAATGTTATTTCCCTTGATCAAAATTTACCCCGATAACCCAAATTCTGGATCTTGCTGCACATCATGGATGCCATCCTATGAGCTCTTCTTGTCTTATATTCAGAAAAAAACACTAAATATAACTCTACAGCAATTTGCTTTTAACTAGTGCAAATATCAAACAAGTTTTTTAACAGTCCACTGTGGATTTTCTCATATCGAAGGCTGTCTTTAACAACCAAAATAGGTGTTCATACATGTACATGTATATCAGAATTTATAATCTGATGAACATTACAGAAAGGTGTCTGACAAGAACATCTGCAATAATATTATACTTTTAATCAAACGTGATACAAAACATTCAATTTTCTGAAAGGGATCATACATGCACTTACTAAAATTTACTCCCTTTTCAGCCTGCATCACAAAAGCCAAGTCCATGTCACTAAGAGACTTACCATACAATACACTTCCTTGTTACTAGGTTACAGTAAAATGAGGAAGTATATTATAGTGGACATTACAGCTATCAACCTTTGTCAGCTTCATTTATTCAACACTGAATCAATAAACCGTTGATTTGGTTTCAACGTTATTTTGACTGTGAAGTATATATGAAATAATTCATTTTTGAACGGCGGTTGTGGATGACTGACCGAAGGATAAATTTTATCAGAAGAAGACTGCACTGTTCTTTGCATACATGTAGTGATGTTGGTTGTATAATGGACTGGCTAAAATTCTGATCACAAAGTAATTTGTTATGAATGCCAATTACAAACATTCATTACACAAGTACACTGTACAATCAACAAAATGAAAATTTGATAAAAATGATTAAATTAAATGATCATTATCCTCCATTCTGCATATTCCAACAATATTGAATGTTAAACTGAGTGAATCACTTGCTGGAAAATATTGTTTGAGAAACCAAAAAGAATTGGACATTAGGCTTTTTTCAGCGATTTCTGTTGGAGTTGGTCCAATATTTGAAACACTAATGACAGTTTACATCCGCTGCCAGTCCTATAAATAATGCTTCCTTTTAAATTAACTTGGTGTAGCTGTAATTTTCTAGGATAAGTCCTGTTCAGATAACAGCTTCATACAGTCATTGTACCAAAAAAACCCTTAATAACTTTTCTGATCTGTCATAATATGTGTGCCTCATAAAAATATTAGCAATTAAGGATCTTGGAAATAAATGCCAGTTTACAAACAAAGCAATCAACATCTACTTTTTTGCATCTATTTAGATATCACTAATAAACTCGACGTTATTTCTTTGGCTTGAAGCAAGACGGTTTGCGCGATTTGTGAAGAAACGTGCGATAAAATAACAAATAAATAAGCAAGCAAAATATAAATTAACACAGTTAGACAGTGTAAAATTCCTTTTTCATACCCTCAATATATACAACATCAGAACAATTGTGATGTTATCGCGATGAAATTCAAGTGGATAAAAATTGGCTCACTTTGACAAAGTACCGCGCGTGGTTTAAGTTTATATGATTGAAAATGTAAGTAAGCTTATACATGTACTTTATCGCCCAGCAGGCTAAAATAATGCAAGGCCACAAGCGGTTACATGTATTGGCAACAATACAGATAATTTCAAAGCAATGACGATGTTTGAAGAGATACACAACGTGACACGTCTAGAAGGTGAGATACTTCATGTACAAAAACGGGACGATTTTACAGGTCAGAGCGAAATGATACAAATTAAAATCATCACACGCAAGCTATCGACAAAAATCCGAGAAAATTTATTATCTAACAACTAAAACGTACTTAATTCAAACCATTGTGAAATTTATTGCATTGCCATTTGCAAAAAGTTGGCGCACAAGATAAACTGGTAATACGATCCCTTGGAAATGAGGAAACGTTTCGTAAACACACCGTTTCCAAGATTTTACGTTTACAAGGAAGCAAGCCAAAGGATTGCCTCTTGAAGAATTTTTCAGCTATCCCGATGTGGAATTTCAAAGAAATAAATCTCATACTTTGCACGGGAACATTTTGCAGCCCTAACGATCGATAGGCTTAATTGAGCTTACATAACGAGCCGTGATTTCGGCTGGTTGTAAAAACCTCCATAACCACATATTTAAGGACAAGATAAACGCAAGAACCACTAACGTAAAACATTAGGCATTCTACACGTTTAGCAGGTGGGAAGCTAGCATATGAAGGCCTGTAGAATAATCCAGAGAAAGATTCTTGGTCACTAAGATAAATGTGTGCGATACATTCATTATCTTGAGAATCTTTTCCCTCTACAAATAAAAATTAAGCAAGCTACAAACTTTACCTGACGCCGAGGGTTTTCGGACGTGTCGATCTTGAAACACTGGACTTGGAGACCATCTCTTTCATTTTCAACGGTTTCTGGCAAGTTAAAATATTTCGTACAATTAGTCGCAAAGTAAGTAATCGGCCGGTAGGTTAAACCAGAGTCGTTTGACTTCAAAAAGTACATCGCAGCCGGCAGCTCGTGGTAAAAAGTCACAGTAGATTGATAAAGCATAAATGTTCTTCCAATATCTAGCTGCAAAACTACAGGGTATTCGTAGTTTTTAGACTTCCAGAAGGTATTAGCATTAATGTCGTCGTTCACAAAGCTAGGTGGATGCTTAAGTCCATCAGAATTTGCGTTGCAAACGTTACTGCAATTCAAATTCACGCAGAATGTCTCCGGCGGATCACCGCAAGTTGAGTTCGCCGTTACGTTAAAATTTCCAGCAATGTCTGTAGGATTCGGATAGCAAGGCCCACTACTGCATGCATCTTGACATGAAACAATTTGAACAGCAAAAACAGCAAATAAACAAGAAACGACGAACTTCGAAGTCCCAAAATTCGTACACAGCTGTTTGGAATTCGAAAGGAAGCGTCGATTGTGCCACATTTTCATCCTAATCGGCTATTTTAAAAGCCTCATTTGCCCGTTTTCTAAATTCCAAGCTGATTTTTATAGTGGCATTTATAAGCGAGATGATTCCTGATGAAAAAGGTTGATATCTTCCTGAAAACCAGTCAAACAACCTCTTCCTTCTTTCCACTCATCAGAATTTGACTTCTTCGGTCAATTTGAACGATAGCAGTTTTGACAGGCAGTAATAAGAATTTTAGTTATATCAGAAATGTAACGCCACACTCGTAACAGTCATGTGAATAATTTACCGCTGAAATAGAGAAGAAAAAGAGATTCATATATTTCTGCTTTTTTTAAACCGCATTCTAAGATAAGAAAAATTTGAAAAGTTACTTCTATCACTCTCGGAGTTCGAAAATAATAGGAGACAAAATTGATCGTCATTGACATTCTCCTTAATGGTCAACGGTTACCAGACGCCGTAACGGGCCTATGCTGTTTCTGCTGCTAGGTAACCAGTAACACATTGGCTTAAAAATTAACCCTGAGTTTAAAAACTTTTTAACTTGCTCAATATTATTTTGCTCAGGTGCCGAGGTTTTTGTAGATTTTAGTTCTTATTAAACAAAGAAAACTGAAAACCAGAAAGTCGAACGCTCCTTCTTAAGGTAAAGACATTGCAAACGTGATTACCAATTTAAGAAATTACGTATTTCAGAATGATCGTGTTGTTAAAACAATTCTTTTATTTGTTTGTGATCTTCTTTACAGGGGTCAAGAAAAAAAGAATGAGAGAGAATAATTAGCGAAATCACAACAACGTAGTGGTATTCTAAAGGTCTGACTAGGGTGCCAGTAGCTGAGCGCTGTATTAGTTGGCGCGCGCATAAGAGCGCATTAAGTGAGCGATTTGAGGTAATCGCTCTGTAGTACATGTTGAAGCCATACTGGAGTGCAAAGTCACTATCCAGACAGCTTTTGCACGCGCCACGAGAATCATGCCGGATAGGGCTTCTGTTCAGGCACACATGAAGGACAGTTGTGGCGTGGAGCTTTCTGTGACGAGGGGAAAGCTGCACCACGCCGATCTCGAAAGAGGAGCGTCACGTATCGGATAGGTTTTTGTGCCACACTTTGGTGCAGTGTGAACACCGTACCTATTTGGCCGGTCGCCGAATATATTAAAGGAGGAGCGAGAACTGGAACGCACTGAGACAAAACTACCATAAAATTCCGAAAATAAGCCCCGGGGCTTATATTTTTCAAAGGCCCTTTTTGAGGGGCTTATTTTCGGGGGGGGGGGGCGGTATCTACGGAGGGAAATTTGCGTTTCAAAATCGATTGGGCAAGCCTCATAGTTGCAAGTAAATTTACCCTTTTTGCTTTGTTTTGCTTTGTATTTGAGGGCAACTTTCCAGGTACAAGCCCCCCGGGGGGGGGGGCTTATATTTGGAGGGGCGATTTAACGGATGGTTTTTTTGCGTTACCGGATTGGAGGGCTTATAATGTAAAACTTTGTTCAATCAATGAAACAATCGTAAATGCAAACAAGAAATAAAATTTTAAAGTATCCATGAAACAAGACTTCTTGAACAGAAAAGTTGTGAATTGCTAAATAATAAATGGATAACATTTAAGCTAAACTGAACTAGACTCTAACATATTCAGTGTAGTTACATTAGAAATAATATTTTTAAGAAGAAATTTCTCAAATCCATTCTATCGAATACTAAAGAAAATGATTATTTTTGTCACCGCAAAAGTCTCTGAAACCGACCCCAAATAAAAATTCGCTCTAGTGTGGAGAATTCTGATTCACGGTGGGCATAGTATACGCTTACTCATTCTTCCGTTTCTCATTCCTTGATTTTGTATCTTTAGCACTGTCTCCAGCAGCAAAGGGACAAGAAATGAATACACACACTAGCACTGATAACTTCCTTATAGATAGTCATGACACTTCCCCAGTAGTATTTCGAAATTACCGGAAACCTGTACAAAGCGATAAATTCATGCGGGGTCATGTTTTCTTTTTTCCTCGGTGTTCAAATAAAAGACGAGTTTACTGCCTGACGACCTTCCTGTCTTAAATTTTCAAGCAACTGAGAAACATCACTGCTACAAAGAAAGGAGAAAGAATTGACTAAAGAAGCAAAATGGTGATTTATCGTTTTACGCGTTGTTCTAGTTGTCAGCTAGCCTGCGAACGGCAGACGTTTCTCCAAGTCCCTCAGCGGCGATGAGCAAGGAGAAACGTTTGCCGTTCGCAGGCTAGTTCTCACACCATTGACCATCTATTCCTAAAACCCATTCCGTTCTTCTACTTTTTACGAGATCATTTGGGGTCGACCTTGGGGATCAATTGCGGTCTGGGGATCATTTCCCGGGGATCATTTGCGGTCGGGGATCCTTTGTGGTACTGTACAGTTCAACAAGAAAGCAGAAATAAACAAAATGGTTCCATTTTGCTAACTTATAACTACAGTCAAGAGCCATAATGGGATTATGATCTCTTGCTACAGTGGAACCCCGTTAATACGGTCACCAATGGGTCAAAAAATTTTGGCCGTATTATCGGGGCAGGCTCAAATTTTATGGCTTGAGGGCCGTAATGACAAATAAACCGTTTAGCGCATTCGCATTTCCTAAACACCCGAACGTAGCAACTGCTGTCGTTAATAAACAACCGGCATGTTCATATCGCGTACAGTAATTTTAAAAAAGCTACTAAAATTTCCCCTCATGATCAGTACATAAAACACTTTGAAGGTGATGTTGCACGGGACGATTCGCAACGACGATTTTTAGCGCAACACAGCGTTGCAACATTGTTGAGACATTGTTTCAAATGGTTGCAACACTGTTCCAAATTGCGACGCGATGTTGCGCTGAAACTCGTCGTTGCGAATCGTCCCGTGTAACATCACCTAAAATTCGACTATAAAATCGCAACAAGTCCACTTTATGTCTACTGTAGTCTGAAAACAGTACAAGAACAGGCTCAGAGTACCGAGTCAATAAAATTGACATGTTACAGACAGTTTAATTTTTTATATAAATTTCGAACAAGTGGCCGTATTCACGGGGTGAAATTATAAGAGAATGTGGCCGTTGGCCGTATTAACGGGTGACCGCATTACAGGGTTTTTTATAACTGAAGTGTATCGCCGTTTTGCCGGGCGAAAACAAGTGGCCGTAATAAGAAGCTATTTATTATTCTCATTTGCTGCATGAACGTAAGCTGTTATTTCCGCTGCTTCGTCCCTTTTCCTGTTATGGTAAAACATTCTGAAGTCAAGAAAACTCTAGAACAATTCGAGTGAAAAACGTTTCTTTTTAATGATATACAATATTAGCAATAATTATTAATAATCAAGCCTGGAGAAATTGTGATAGTAAATTTATCAATGCGTTACAGCTATAAGGATAACTAAAGCCCTTTTGAATATTTTTTTTTTCAAGCTAAGGAGCTGAAGCTGAATTTCCCAGAGTGGAAACCCTCACTTATTTCCAGTTATATTCCAATTTTTATCACTTACCATCAACTATGTTCTCAGACGCGTTAGAAAAGGCCGAACAGTTTCTTCTTACGCTGAAGCAGTTTTTTCTTCGCAAAATGACAATCAGTTGTTTGAAAGAAAAGTTGACAGCACCTGCATTCGATGTTGTTGTTAATTTCTATATACCGAGTTTGCTACGCTGACAGACATGGAATTGAATATTTACTTCAGTGGGATGAGCAGGAAAAGAGAAACTTAAAAAAGTATCATTTTCCTAATTTATAACCACTGCACTTTTATATTATGTTTTGCTATTTTTGGTTTGCAAAATAAAACAATTATTATTACTTTTATTTGATGCATGAACAGAAATACAATAATTGTTATTTTCCGTTGTTTTCTTTTTCGTCACCTGATCTGCTAAAACATTTTGAAATAATTCTTGCAAATTCTCGATTAAAAAGATCATCAAGCTTTTGACCGAGAAAAACGTTTCGTTTTAACAAAACAAAGTATGAAAATTTACACTTACAATTAATCAGTCTTTAATCAAAAACGAAAATGGCGTTGAAATCTTGACTTTTTGGTGCATTGGCGTAAGGAACCAAATCAGTAGCTTTTGAATACTTTCCTTTAATTCACTCTTCAACCTGAATGACGACTTTACGCTAATCCATTAATATAAAATCATTCTTCGTATAGATACCGCCGAAATCCTGTATCTCCACAAATGACCACATTAAATCTACTATTATTTTCGGTTTTCATTGTACGCTTTTTTAATGAAACTCCATGAAATAAAAAGGTACATGATATTCTTGAGCAAAAACGCGACGCATGTTAGCAACATTATATTTCTTCTTTGAAACTGTTAAACTGCTATTTTATTTGTTCAGTAGGTTACTTTGAACTGAAAACAAACAATTGCTTGATCAAAGAACTAAAATGATAACTCAAAACTATGTTTCATTTCCTTGCTTCGATATCATTAGAATTACTGATGCCTTTGTCATTTTTTTCCTTGACCAACTTGATATTTTGGTGGCTTTTATGCAACAATAAAATTCTTATTAAAACGGTTTTTATTGATGACCAACTTTCCGCCAGTGACGTGCTTATTAACAAGGATAAACAAACGCATTAACTCTATGCATAAGACATAAAAGCGTGAAATAAATCACTTATTTATCGGTCAATACGGCTTATTCAGCGTGCATGATAACTGCAAAAGACAGCTTTATCAAAGCAAAATAAGATATGAATTCAAGTGAAACCTCACAGACAGCGAGTACAGTTCGCGAATGTGGACTGACCCCGCAAGGAACTGTTAATGATATATCCTCGGAAGTTTACTGCTGGCTTGTCTTCATCACAGTCATCAGTATCATCACCTGTCCTGTCACTACTGTTTTGAATGCACTGATCATAGTGGCTGTGAAAACTAAAAACCAAGTGAGAACCAAGTCTAACATTGCTCTTGCTTGTTTGTCTTCTACTGATGCGGTTATGGGAGTGATCGGTCTGCCCCTTTTTAGCTCTTGGCTAATCGTAGAACTGCAAGGAAACACCTTCGGTATGCATTGTGAGCTGATAGGTTTTACAAGAACATCCTTGAGATTGTTGACCATCGCATCATTGTTGCACCTGGCTATCGTAAACGTAGAGCGGTACATTGCGATCAAACATTCACTGCGCTACGAAATCATAGTCACTGAAGCTCGTTTGATTGGTGTTTCTGCTCTCCTGTGGACCATAACCCTGCTTTTAACGTTTCTCCCTGGCAATAATTATGTTCAATATGACATTGGCCTAACATCCCTATGCATTGCCTCTATCTTCTCTTGTCAAGTTGTGCTTTATTACGAAACACGACGCCACGAGAAAAAAATAGCTCTTCAGCAAGTCTCGGTGGAAGCCAGAGAGAAGTTCTTAAGAGAGAAGAAAGCTTTGAAACAAACAACAACTGTAATTTTTTTCTTAATAATTTGTTATTTGCCTATAATAATTTCTCGGGTGTTTATTTCAACCTTCGCTGTATTGAATTCGGTAAATTCAGTATACTTTGTTCATTTTACGGGCGTCTTTTTCGTAATTTCCAATTCTCTTCTTAACCCAATTATACATTGCGTTCGAATGAAGAAGTTTCGACTTGCCTTAAAGGAATTAGTATTTAGCAAAGGCAATATACAGGCTGCAAATTAGAATTAAAAGCAACATTTTTTTCAGAAGATGAGACTACAATTGTAGCTTTCACCTAAGGAATAAAAAGAAGAGAAAAAAGCTCCAATACAAGATTAGAATTGTTTTATTTTGTTATGATCAGAAAAATACAGAAAGTTTTTTTTTTGTTTAACTGAGTGCTGAGCTAGAACTGGAAGATGTCAATGGAAATAAGAGCTTAATTCAACTCAGTTTAGGGGGAATGTGATTTCGAGAAATGGGAGTGCGATTTTGAGGACGAGATCAGAAAAGTTAGTTTACCACCGTTATTAAATGGACACAGGTTCGTCTAAGGCCTTGTTCGCACTATGCAAATTTCTTTTTGTTTTGTAAAAAGTCCGGCTGTCAACAAGAGGCCATTTCTAGTAAGAACGATTTTTTCACTTACCAAATTTTCTCAGTTGTCACCAAACTTCAAAGATGCCGTCGAGAGGGCTGCAATTTTTTGTCTTGATCAGGCGACACTCCTTTGTTCCTTGACAGCCATCTTATTTCGTGACCGATCAATTGACGTTTCTTGTTATACGAAAAATTTCGCGTGTCTCAGATGCGAACAAGGTTGAAAAAACGAAAAGTCGGTGATTACAAAATTTTCAAATTTTTTTGCAAACGCCGAACTCTATTTTTCGTCGTTGTGCGAACATGGCCTAAATAATGAAATAGTTGACTGTTTCATGCTGTATGAGTAAAGGACTATTAATTTTTAATTACATATAAGTCGTCAGATCTGTATATACTAAATCAATTATGAAATCAAACGTTTGAATTGTCCAGAATTAATTAATATTTCGAAAATTTTCTTTTCTTTGTGCCTATATCAGAATTCTTCACACTACAGCATGTTGCCCAGTATCCGGACGGTACCAGTATCCGGACACTTAAAACAAAAACTCAATTTTTGAGGCGCCCTTTTCAGTTATCGGTAAACGAAGTATTTCGAATGAAAGCTGAACACTTCAGCTTTAAGATGAGGGTTTTGGCGAGTTGAAAGCTTGCGAAACAGTTGCAGAAGACGCCGTTTCGTTCAGGTGAATAAACATTTCATGGCTAATATTTACGCTGTTCACCACGCAGTAAAATTAGTGCTGCTCAGAAAAGGGTAGGTAATATGTGATATTTTCAAAGAAACGGTTTTACATTTAACGTGAAGATACTTAAAGAAAACAGGTTCTCAGAAAGTTTATTAATTCTTCTTGAAATTCGATCTGTTTGGAATAACGGAGCTCAGAAACATTCACTAAGTATTGATGTCAGGTGCCTAGTATCCGGACAGTTGTTTCTTTGCTGTACAGAATCTATGAATTAACTGTGTACATTATCCGGATAAAATTTATTTCATATCTATAACTATAATTAAAGCTTAGGATATATGATATAGTCGTAAAATGTAATTCTACTCAACTCCGTACGGAAATTTTCTTCACCCGGTCGGAGGCGACTTTATTTCGTGTGCGCTGCTTGTTTCGTGTTACTGCATTTTCCATATGTAACCGAAAGCGTCGGAGTTGAACCTGGAATTCTCATACTTTCCCCAGTTCTGACTGCTAGAATGCGGTTGCAAAGGTCTGAAAAATGTCACAAAGGGCTTGAGAGATGTGAAAGGAGGAGGAATTAGTGCTAGAAAAGCAGGCTTATAGTGGGGTCTGTAGGGTTGAGCATGAAGAAATCAACACTGCATCAACTGCAGGTCAGACTAAATAGGAGAGTGACCTTTGACCGTGGCATTGAGGTCCCTTCCTCAAGCTTTTTTTTCTTTAATAAAAAATGAAGGAAAAAAGTCGTTTGCAGATTGGCTAATTAAGCTAGAAAACTGCGGCTTTGGCATGTCCATGGATGCCTTCCCTAAATCAGTGAAAAAGTTCCTAGACAGGGAAGTAAGAATTATGTCATTTAACAACCGCTCTCGTTCCCCACCATACCCCAGTTATTTGTTATGTTTTATTTCCCGATGCTAGGTTATATTTTTGGAATCGATTGCCAGACTACTTTGCAAGTGCAAGAGAAGCTTATAAGTCGCTTGCCTGTCGAAATTTATGTACAATTACGTTGTTATTGTTGTGTCCGGATACTGGGCCAGCTGTCCGGATACTGGGCAACATAGGAGCTCTGCAAAAATATTAATTTCGCGATGGAAACAAAGGCAAAAAAGTTAAACTGTCCTTCGTCATATTAAGGACTAAATAGATTTTCTCTGGGCCAAATTTCAGAGCTCTTGCGACTAACAAAGGAAAGTTATTGCAATGTTAAAATGAAGTGTCCGGATACTGGGCAACATACTGTAGAGCGAATTTTCATTTGGGGTCGGTTTCAGAGACTTTCGCGGTAACAAAAATAATTATTTTCTTTAGTTTATACTGAGTATTCGATAGAATGGATTTGAGATATTTCTTCTTAAAAATATTATTTCTAATGTGACTGCACTGATTATGTTTGAGTTTAGTTCAGTTTAGCTTAAATGTTATCCAGTAAGCAAGTCACTGCATTGCCGTTCAAGAGCTATAGACCATTTTCTATATATCAAAATCCATATTTGGCTCCGAGGCTTGGGGAAATTAAACAAAAGGAATGTATTATTCATTATTGAGCCTCAAGATGACTTCTTTTGTTTTATTTCCGCGAGCCTCGCAGCCAAGTATGAATTTTAACATATCGGAATTGGCCTATTTTCTTGTTTCAATGATACCGTTTTTAACTTTATTTCTCGTTTGCATTTATTTGTGTTTCATTGATTGAACAAAGTTTTAAACGTAGTTTACAGTTACTTTTTTTGCAGTTATCTGTGAAGCCAAATTTGTTCCTTTCAATACTTTTTGTTGTGATAATAAACAGGACACAGTGATCCAGTAACTTGAGTCCAAGCCACTCTAATTTTCCATTCGGGATCATTTCAGGTCGACATTGGGGTTCATTTACGGTCGAGGATCATTTGCGGTCCATTTTGGGGATCATTTGCAGCCGGGGATCATTTGCTGCAATGTACAGGTCTCCTTCCTTAATTAGGGTATCATTTCTGTGTAAGAAACACTTGTGAAGGCAAAACCACAACGACAAACCAGCGAGGGTCAGGCGGATCTTTAGTATACCTGGATCAGTAAAATCTTCTATGCCAAATTTTAAAATTAGGGACTGTGCAATAATTATCAAGAGGGGGGGCTGAAAAACTAGAGTTATCTAGCAAAAACTTAGACAGTATCCCCCCTCCAAAACAAAAAAAATTAGTTCTAACCCCCCTCTGTTATGTTAAAAATAACGTCACACCCCCCCTACCACCACCCAGATTTAGACAAAGCATTTGCTAAGTACCGGGATGCTTACCACATTGGCTCAAAATCTAAAACTTCTGAAGCCAGAAAGAGAAAGGAGCAGAGAAAAAAAATCAAAGAACAGGAGATTGAACGCTTCAAATAACAGACGAAAAAGAGCTTGCATTATATTTAGATCCTTGGGAGGAGAGCCTGTTGAACTTTGTTATGAGCCAGATATATATGGAATTCAGCAAATCGATTCAGTCGATGAAGAAACATTACTTTTATTCACATCAAAAACCGACAAATCTTGTCTAGGAGATATCTTTGATTCCCATTATTTTATAGGGGAAGCTGAAAAACAAGTTCATGATTTTTGCTTTACATAGGATCAGCTCAATTAATTAGAAGACTGGTTAAAATTGATCAGTTATGAATTTGCTTTTCATTTTGATGGAATATTTTCAATAATCGTTTAACAGCTTTTCGTATTGATATTTGTTACAGTCTATCATGATGCCTGTTTTGAGAATCTTTTATTGCGTTTAATTTTACTTACATTTCGAATAAAACTTAAGGCCCTCCCTCCGTCAAATGAGTGATTTTACTTTGAGCCCCCTATCTTGGCAGCAATTTTATGTAATGCCCCCCCCTCTAGTTTTTCAGCCCCCTCTCCCTCCTGATAATTATTGCACAGTCCCTTAGAACGGCAAACTGATCCTCAAGTCGGGAAGAGTGATAGGAAAAATAAAGAAAGAATTAAAACAAAAATAAAATGGTGAATTATTTTCGCACGATATTTCGGTTTGCAACACAAACCTTCAACGGGGACTATAAAAGAAAGATGAATATAGATACAAGATGAACGTTACATACGCGAGATTTGAATACATAGCAAACAGAAAATGATAGGCTACTAAAAAGATAAACGTCACTAATTGAGTTCATCAGGTCTATTTCCCGTCTATTTATACCTGAGGTTCTAATGTCCTAGCTTTGTCAATGATGTGAGCCTCGCGCGCCTTTCTGACAGAGTCACGGTTGCTACGGATTAGTTCTAGGGGAATAAGAAGGACGTCTTTGATAGAGTGCTTAGCTTGATTAATATGTTCAGCCGGATCGAGACAGGAGTGTAACTTTGTAACTTTATTTGATTTACCACAAAATACAAATAACGATAAAAACAAGACAGTTACACAAAAGCAAATGAAAGTGGCGAGGAAGCCCAAAAAGAAACCATGAGGCTTATAGACATTGGGCTCCCTCAGAGTAAAAAATAAAGTTAACATTAACGGTAAGGCCAGGATCGAAAGTAAAATACAATGAAGGTAAGTATAAATTAACTAATTACATAGACTGAGTATTATATGGAACAGTCAACGGCGAACTCAAATTCATTCAAAATCGCTCAAAAAACCGCTTTTGAGGCAAAAGGACGACAAAACACCACAGGTCAGGTAATTCAACGTTTATTTATCATTGATTTATATACATAGTTAGCGATATGTCGCTATAGGTGAAGCAAACGGTAAATCCAGTACACTACTATAAAATAACAATCGGCTACACAAACCTATTGTGTGCGCCCCCTGTGCTGAGACCAGTCAATTCTCTCCAAATGCGATAGAAACTTAGTTGTGTTGACTTGATTTACATCTCGAACAAAAACAGTTTCATTAGATACTGAGATTGAGGTGTCGAAATGAATAGAAAATATAGGCAGATGGTCAGAAATGT